CATACCATACCATACCATACCATACAATACCATACCATATCTTTGTTTGAGTAGGTTCGGGGGGGGGGGGGGGGGGAGACATGCTCTTTTCATAAAAAAACATCTAGTTCATTCTATTATTGGACGGGCACATGGTGAAAAGTATTAGTAGCAGTTTTAGTGCTACAGTTAATTATAGTAAAGACAGAATATATGCAAAACATACGGGAAAGAGTAAAGAATTATGTTGAGTAGAAAGATTCAGAACCACCTATGCAGTTATAAAATCACCGTGTCCAATTTTAATGAGGTGTTGAGTACAATTTACAGGCAACTACATGTGTATATATAAAATATTCAGAGTCAATACAATAACCCTAGTTGAAAACGTAAGAAAAACACTAAAATGAAAACAAGTTGACAACTCCTTAAGTGACACTGCAAACATATCCTCTACACAGAATGTCTAACTAATCTCGATACAATTGCTGCATACAACTGATGTACATGAGATGTTGATTCTGGAACGGGTAAACGTGTCACTATTGTCCCAGTAATATTTTCCACTATTTAAAGTTTGATACTCATAGTTGCAACAGCGAAATGGAATGGGAAAGGTTGTTTCTCTACGAATGAAACGTATATCATCCTGGCTAATATGCAAACGAAGACCACAATTCAATGCACAAAACACTGCCGATGTCTATACATGAACTCTGGAATTCCCGTAGGAACATCAAGTTTGCGTTGCGCACGTATTCTATGATGATTCCATGCCATTTTAAAAGTATCTTCTAAGTCTGCGCTTTGACCTTAGATGATCACCTTCATGGTCAATCTGTATTAACATACGGCAAACAGTTTCCTGCGTAATGGTTAAATTGTGTTTCAAATGAAGCAGTTTCCGCATACTTTTATAGCCAACGTTTTTATAACCTTGTTGCTGGAGACTGATAAATCAGACTTCAGGTGGACTTTCGTTCATTCTTCTGAGAAGACCTAGTCTTTTGAGGAGTTTTCCAAGTGTGCGATGACCTATACTTATGTGGTGCGTAAAATTAAGAAAACCAAGTTTATCTTCTCTGAACATGCGCAGGGAGAAATAATAGCGATCAAGTTCTTCAAGTAGGGCGGTGTCCCCCGGGTAGGTAAGAGTTCCGTCTACAACACATGGAAGCAGCAGAATCTGAGAAAAAAATGGACAGGTATATAGTTTAGTGGTTGAAAAAAATAAGTAAACACATTACGCTCATAAAATTACTCGGTAGTCCAACACATTTGGAATCTTTATGCCTCCAGTTTTATCTGGAACGAGCCTCTAGAGCGATTGATATCAGTTGTTTTAACTAGTTTCCCAATATAGAAGAAATAATAACAGCAAATAAACAAGATAAATTTAGATGACTCGAAAAAGAGGAAATAGGTCAATCACTGAATGGATTTTAAACACAAACTGGATAAGACTACTGTAGTTTAAGTAACAGTGACTTTTTATCTCGCTGCATGCAGAGCCCTTTATGAATTCATTCAATGATCCTACGACAAAATAATAAAAATAATGAAGAAACTGAAAATGTCAATAAAAGTTAGGGTCATAATTCTTTTCCCTTTAGATATCTGCTTTCTACGTTAGTATGGCACGATTAGTCTTACATGTTTACAACAATGCACGATACAGACAAAGATTCTTTGGTAGAAATAATTAATATGTTTCTATAAGGGTAGCATTAATTTACAGTGTGATCTCAATAAAGCCGAAAGAGACTTTAAGACTTAGTCTTTACAATTTGTAGTTCGATATTGGAAGAAACTTTCAGCTAAAAGAATCATTCTCGAACACGTTCCTGGGGCAAACCAGTACTTAGCAATGAGGAGAATGATTTTTTTTTCAATTTTTCAAGGAAACAATGGGTTACCACTGAAGGGGGTTCGAACTCACGCCTAGAAGCGATCCAAGGATTACATGTCCGATGCTCTAACCATTCGGTCACATCACCTCTTAAGACTTAAATTTTCATACTTCTGTCAATTTAAGAATAAACAGTTGATAAATCATTATAAACATACTACTCGATGTCGAAATATACATAATTTACCAGTAAATAAAAAGTAAAAAAGAGTATTTACCATGAAGAAAATTGTTTGCAGCATTTTAGTCCAAACGCCATCCATGTGGTGGTTAAATGTTGGTTCAGACAAAATAAATCGCGGTACCTTGAAACATGTTCTTTTTTTGGACACATTGCTACGTTGGTTAATAAAAAGAGTCTGAAAAAAGGCGAGTTTTACAAATTAATTGAAATGATACCAACAAACTGGTGCACGAAATAATAGCATGTTGACATAATTTAGACATATAAAAAAAGGTAATTGTATTAAGATGCCTTTAGTAAATATGCATTGCCGTTATTTAGACGAATTAAACAGGATTCAAGACAACATGACGAGGCCGATATACGTTTCCGTACTAATACAGTGGCGTTGACTTGCCAATTTATTACGTAAACTTGTCTAAATACTGACTCATTATGTCAGATAATCGTGTTATCCTGTCCAGATGCGATGTTGTCCAAATTTAGTATCACGTGACCAGAGCCCGCGCGAATAGAGAGGGCGGGCGTGAAAAAGGGACAGTTTAACAAAATCAGACAGCGCTTTTTCAAGACAGAACTTAATTTCAACAAAATAACACAGTTATTAGACATAATAAAGAAAACGTCAAATTTTCACAATACAGCACTTCTCTTTTACATTTGTAAGACGGAGTTTTAACAAGTCAAACCGCTTTTTGACAATAGCATACAGTTTATCATGATATAGTATGATTTAGTACAGTCAATACTCTTTTTCGACAAGGTAATGCGAATATTTGAGATAATAAGACTATTCAGTAGTGTACGCTGGCTAATTAACACTTGACTTCTGTTCGACACAATAAGACAATGTTAAGGCATTTAAACGTCGTATTTTGACAAAATAATAGCAGTTAGATAAAATAAAGCAGTATTTTGACAAGTCTACACCAAATTTCGACAAGAGAACACTACTGTATCAAATGATCAGACAGTCTTTAGGCAAAACAGCTCCACAATTTGACTAAATAGCGCGACTATTTGACATAATATGACACATTTCAGACAAGCCAGAACGACATTTTGACATGATAACACTACTGTTTGAAATAAAGACAAGTCAACATCACATTTTGAAGAGATAAGACTACTGTTGCGCAAAATAAGGCAATGTTTAGACAAGTCGACAAAATACTGTGGGAAGACAACACTAATATTTGACATAATAAGACGCTTTATAGGCTGCTGCAAGATAAAAGCAATGTTACAACATGAGGCAGCTATGGCGTTCCATATATTATAGCATAAAATCGGCTATTTTCCCCTATTTTGCCCATGTTATAACGGGACCAAAACCATGTGTTAACATAGTCACGCGCTCTTGTTATAGCCCGGTTTCACCTATGCGCAATACATACAGGGCCCAGTAAACAAACAAAAAATGACGATTTTGCCTGTTTGCCAAAGAGTCATGCGCTCTTGTTATATTGAAATTTATTGATTCGAGGGCCTCAGTCGCATATTCAAGTAAATATGCCGGAAAAAACGGCGTATAGACATCGGTGCTAATCTTGGTTGTCGCCCTTTCTAAGAAACGGACAGTTGTCAATGTAAACAAATACAGTACAGTAGAATCTACCTGTCATTCAGTTTAAAACTCCGATTAACTTACAAAACTAGATAACACAAAATTAATATGAGAGAATGTTTTTTATTTATGTTAATGTTGATAAATGCTCTTTATATTTCTTTGAGAGAATAATGCTTAGTGCCTAATTTTTTTATAAACTTGTTTGCTTAAAAAAAATAAACCGATTCTGATGTCACTCATCAATCTGAAATCATTCTAAGAATTTCTGAGGGTCATGTTTTGTCTTGGGTAGAGGGTAGAGTAATGTAACCTGTTTTTTTCTTGAGATAATAAATCTCCAAAGGCAAAGCTTTGTTAAATCAATTAAAATTCAAAATTTCGTTCGGTTCCGAGAATTTTCCAAGTTGTTGGCCCCGGAAAAATGAAACGCATACGTAAAACATAGAATTGGATAAATACCGTCCAAGCACAATAATTTAATGTAATTGTGTTTTGTATAAACTATACATCACGAATCTGTTTGAAAATTTTATGCTATAATAGCGTCAACGCACGTTTATTTCGTGTAATAAAGTCTGCAGAGTCCCTCGGAACTGTTGGAGCCCTCGCCCTACCGGGCTCGGGCACCAACCGTTCCTCGGACTCTGCAGACGTTATAACACGGAAAAACGTGCGTTAACCCTATATACTAGTTATGGACCTTCACACTGCCGGATAAGTTACGTCATCGTGCACCTGACTGGGAGATAAAATAATTATGTTTTAATTTAAAGAAATCGTTAGAATATCAATAAATAATGTAGCGCACCACAAATTGGCTTTAATAGTACTTAATATAATTTTTAAAAAACGTTTAATGTTTTAAATACTGTCCGGATTAAGCCTGAAAACGAGGTAAATTTTATTTGGCAGTCCGAGTGGAAGGATTTAGGGAAAAAAACTTTACCCGTTTTCAGGACTAAACTAAGCTGTAAAAATTTAGAATAAAAGATCGGAATATCCATCCATGGGCGGGCCGCTATCCTCGGAAGAGATATTCCAACCCGAACAGCAATGTTCAGATCAATAGGAAACCACTCTGTTATTTAGCGGGAAATGATTTGCACGTGATATAAGCTGTATGAGCAATGAAGTTTCTTGAAATTACGATTGTCATACATTAACATGTGAAATCTTACCTGTACAGTAAATGCCCACTCATTACCGATGCCTGCTGTTACATGTACATACATTTCATACATGTATGTCTGTTGATAAAAATCACGACAAATGATAGCTTATAATTTGTCACGGACTCTTTTTTTTTTTTTTTTTTAAAGTGTTTCACTATTTAATGACGGCATGCAATCTTTTTTTAGAGTAAACCAAGGAAATCTGGATGGAAAATATCCAGTGATTTAAATCTGTCTGAGGTTGGAGTGAACTTTAACCAATGGAGGAAACCGGTGAGCAGATGGGGCCCGGATGAAGACGACATGAAATCACGTAAGACTATCTTTCTTTGTTTATTTCATTTTGAAACATGTGTTAGAGATGCAAGTTAAAGATATATTTTAGGAAATACATGAGTTGTTAATAATATTACATTTTTTCCGATTCGGTCTATCTTTAATGTTTACAATATGAATAAAGCGGTAAAGTCTGAAAACGAGCTCTTTTGTAGAAATTTTTCTAAAACAGTACCCCACAGTGTATATATAAGTAACAAAAACATTACTCAAATCGAAGAAACCCTTCGGAGAATGCGAACCCACCAATAACTAAATCTCGGGAAAAGGATTCCCTTTCGTGAAATGTGTACTGAACTACCGAAATACATGTAATGACTCCGAGTCCATTTCTGATTATTTTATCATACGACATGTATGAGGAAAAAATATAGTATAAATGATTCAAATATAACTCGGTAAACATTGTATAATTATATTACATACATGTACATACGGAAATTTTGGCGGTCTTCCTAATCGAACCACATTTAACTGATCATTTGAGCGTGCGTTACCATAAAGGAGCATTTAGTTATTTATTTGTTCACATTTGACGAACGTTTTTCACTGTTTTTTCCATAGTGTACACACAACTGGATATCAATGAATCCGACTGGAAGCACGCGACATCAACCGTGGATAGTGTCCTTCATATGTTACTATGTCAGATGAAAAAACGCCTGAACAAAGATGTGATCATTAAAGAATATATTAAACAAGGTATTTATATTTTATAAAAAGAGCACATGCCTTTCAGGATAATAGTGCATATTAGCAACTCAAGAACTGAAATAACACCCGACAGGCTATATTATTGTGGCTGATTTGGAACGCTTTTGAGCGTCGTGTTGGAGAGTGACAAAGCGCCAAACGGCGCATTTTCGGACTTTCGTCTTGTCCTATCGCTAACGATACACGCAAAACGGCGTGTTGTCGCGATGTCACATTTTCGCTCGGTTCAAATCCAAGGATTGGCTTATAAGTCAAACGATAGGGCGACATCGCGACAACGCGCCGTTTGGCGTGCTTCGCTTGAAACAAGACGACAGTGCGACAACGCGCCGTTTGGCGCTTTGTCATGTTGTCGCTAGCGACAAGACGAAAGGCAATAACGATATAGGTTGTGTTGTCGCTATCGACAACGCAACGCGCAGTGTACCAAATTAGTCACCATACTATATAGATTAATCGCCCCTGAAGAATATTGCAAATAAATATTGACCGGTGATATTCATTTCCAGTCCGATAGTATCGAAAAAAACACCATGTGACATCACATTAGGTTATATAGTACGTGACATATAGTAAAACCTGTTATCAGAGCTTTATTGGACCTCAATGGTCCGACCGGTTAAAGATCCTGTAACTCAATTTTTTCATGGTTTTATATTCAAATGAAGATTTATCAATATTTTAAGTTCCAAAAAGCATTTTTTTAAAGATATTACCGAATTTACATTTCATGTTAATAAAGGGCTGTAATTAGAAATTTATTTTCTATTAAGTCTAAGTCAAATTTTGTAATATATATATATGCATATATTTTAATGATTACATAAAATGTGGACAAATATTTGCAGTACATACTTTACATATTCTTCGATGATTGAAAATTGTTTTAGAAGCATAATTATATACATATATAAAATTTCACTTAAGTATGGTATCAACTTTAATTACAACATACAGGCTCTTTAAGAATTTCGAGTCACTTGCCCGTCAGTGTTGTGAGCTCAATGACTTTGTATATATTTGTGTTATAAAGACAATCCAGCCAGTTTATTATGGAGTGACAATTAGTTTATTATGCCCCCATTTCGAAGAAAAGGGGGTATATTGCTTTGCACTTGTCGGTCCGTCGGTCCGTCGGTCCGTCGGTCCGTAGACCAAATGGTTTCCGAGTGATAACTAAAGAACCCTTAGGCCTAGGAACTTCAAACTTGGTATGGTGATTGGTCATGACCAGTAGATGACCCCTATTGATTTTGGGGTCAAGGGGTCAAAGGTCAAGGTCACATTGACCTTGTAAGCAAAAACGGTTTCCGATCAATAACTAAAGAACCTTAAGGCCTAGGAACTTCAAACTTGGTATGGTGATTGGTCATGACCAGTAGATGACCCCTAATGATTTTGGGGTCAAGGGGTCAAAGGTCAAGGTCACATTGACCTTGTAAGCAAAAACGGTTTCCGATCAATAACTAAAGAACCTTAAGGCCTAGGAACTTCAAACTTGGTATGGTGATTGGTCATGATCAGTAGATGATCCCTATTGATTTTGGGGTCAAGGGGTCAAGCAAAAACGGTTTCCGATCAATAACTAAAGAACCTTAAGGCCTAGGAACTTCAAACTTGGTATGGTGATTGGTCATGATCAGTAGATGATCCCTATTGATTTTGGGGTCAAGGGGTCAAAGGTCAAGGTCACATTGACCTTGTAAGCAAAAACGGTTTCCGATCAATAACTAAAGAACCTTAAGGCCTAGGAACTTCAAACTTGGTATGGTGATTGGTCATGATCAGTAGATGATCCCTATTGATTTTGGGTCAAAGGGTCAAAGGTCAAGGTCACATTGACCTTGTAAGCAAAAACGTTTTCCGATCAATAACTAAAGAACCTTAAGGCCTAGGAACTTCAAACTTGGTATGGTGATTGGTCATGATCAGTAGATGATCCCTATTGATTTTGGGGTCAAGGGGTCAAAGGTCAAGGTCACATTGACCTCTTGGGTAAAAATGGTTTCTGATCAATAACAAAAGAACCCTTAGGCCTAGGAACTTCAAACTTGGTATCGTGATTGGTCATGACCAGCAGATGACCCCTATTGATTTTGGGGTTAAGGGTTCAAAGGTCAAGGTCACATTGACCTTGTAGGTAAAAACGATTTCTGATCAATAACGAAAGAACCCTTAGGCCTAGGAACTTCAAACTTGGTATGGTGATTGGTCATGACCAGCAGATGACCCCTATTGATTTTGGGGTTAAGGGGTCAAAGGTCAAGGTCACATTGACTTTGTAGGTAAAAACGGTTCCGATCAATAACGAAAGAACCCTTAGGCCTAGGGACTTAAAACTTGATATGGTGATTGGTCATGATCAGTAGATGACACCCTATTGATTTTGTGGTCAAGGGGTTAAAGGTCAAGGTCACATTTACCTCTTAGGTAAAAATGGTTTCCGATCAATAACTAAAGAACCCTTAGGCCTAGGAACTTCAAACTTGGTATGGTGATTGGTCATGATGACCAGTAGATGACCCCTATTGATATTGGGTTAAGGGGTCAAAGGGAAAGGTCACATTGACCTTGTAGGTAAAAATGCTTTCAAATCAATAACTTAAGAACCCTTTGGCCTAGGAACTTCAAACATGGTATGGTGATTGGTCATGACCAGCAGATGACCTATTGATTTTGGGGTCAAGGGGTCAAAGGTCAAGGTCACATTGACCTTGTATGTTAAAATGGTTTCCGATCAATTAACTAAAAACGCTTAGGCTTAGGAACTTCAAACTTTGTATGATGATTGGTCGTGACCGGCAGATGACCCCTTTTGAGTTTTGGGTCAAGGGGTCAAAGGTTAAGGTCACATTGACCTTGTATGTTAAAACGGTTTCCGATCAATTAACTAAAAACGCTTAGGCCTAGGAACTTCAAACTTTGTATGATGATTGGTCGTGACCGGCAGATGACCCCTTTTGAGTTTTGGGTCAAGGGGTTAAAGGTTAAGGTCATGACCACTAGATACTAGATAACCCTTATTAATTGTTTGATCACTGGGTCAGAAGTCATGCATAACAACCTTATCACATGACTAATTGGCTGCTGATAGGGGGCATACATGTTTTACAAACATATCTTGTTATCAATAGTATTAGCTTGTGCCTTAAATAACCAGCTCAGTTTTTTTTCTTCAATTAGTAAAGACCAAAACGTGCTTTATATAAAATTCACGATACCATCCTCAATGATTGTCAATATATCTGAGAATTTGATAAGTGATTAAAAAACAACTAATGCCTCGATTTAAGTTTGACCATTACCTTTCTAACACATTTTGTTTGTTTTCCCAAAAATACAAAGGTAGACAAAAAACTTATTAACTGGAGATAATTTATTAAGTAATTATAAATGTATTTTTGTTTATATTTAGGTAGTTCAAGAGAAGGTCTTAAAGTGGGTAAAGCTGATGAGTTTGATGTCCTGATGCTGTTTCATATAAATGATTTGCCCTTAGAGGTCTGTATATTGTTTATCAACGGTAATGTAAGGAATGACAAACTCTTTGATTTAAGAATGATAATTATTATGTCCAAGTACTCGCCCAAAATTTGCTTATTGAAGACGGTCCATGATTTAGCTTTAAGGCTTCACGCCTCCAGATGAGCAAAAATATTTCGATAAAATCAAACCTGAGAAAAACGTAGTAAGATTTTAGGAAAGGTATAAAGATTCAAATTCTATTATATAATTTACATGCGATTAATGACCGAATTTTTCAGTAATTATAACTATATTTCTACTGCGTTACTATAAGCAGTAAGGGCTATTTTTGCATATTTTGACATCTTTTTGTGTCGCCTTGAAAAGGCGACATATAGGGGTTACTTTTGTCGGCGGTGTCGTTGTCGGCGTCCCCTAAAGCTTGTCCGGAGCATAACTCAGTCACCATAAGTCGGATTGACTTCAAACTTGGTATGCATGCTAATCTGTTCAAAACCCGAAGTTGCTAGTGATTTGTTAATGTACAAAGATATATATTACCCTTAAATATAACCTATTCTTAGTGACTAATTATGGTTATTTATCCATTCCCTGCTCCATATGAATTAATACGATAATGTCGTACTTCGCGTGTAGAAAACTATAAATCAAATAGCAAATGATTGTTTATACTTGAAATGAGTTCAGTTGCACAGATATCGCTAGCTTCGCATCTCTATGGTATATAATTTTCTTTACTGATTATGTGCGTCCGACTTGCTTTTTGTACTATGTAATTCAGTTATGTCTTGCTGCGCGATTTCATACACTATCTATCTCACATATGATCATCTCAGATAGGCCGACACATCCCGACTTGCCGGTCAACCCTGGTAGCCGTCTTGTTAGTGCTCCCTCGACTGAAGTGCTGTAAAATATCATTCTCTTATCAATGGTAACTATCACACTAGACCGGTTGGTTCTATCTGTTAATATACTTTTACTTTAGAATGAGATAGAAATAAATGTGCTGAATGAGAGGTGTGCTGCCTCTATATGAAATAATCACTCAAATCGCCGTCTGATGACTGTATAACTCTATCGTGTGGATAATACTGTTTAAACACTTAGCGTGCTGTGTCTATCGATGGAACTCTGTAAGATGTACATCATGAGAAAGTTGAAGTCATGACGCGACTACTTTTATGGCAGTGTTATAATTGTGGATCCGGCTTTGGATATATATACGTACACACCGCCGCTCACATAAAATGGGCGTTTGTTCTCTACTAATTACATCTCTCATCCGTAGTGTCTCACTCTACTACAATACGCGTCACATGTAAATATGTTCTCACGAATACAGATAGCTCATATGTATTCTCTGTCTCGGAGATAAGACTTGGATCTATTCTTATTATCTATGAACCGCATTTCGTGCTATTATATACAAACAGAGAACTAATGCTAGCGACCAAAGATTGGTTCTTAATACTTGATTATAATAAATAACATTTAACAGATCATTTACGCTCAAACGGATGAATATTTTAGGTGGGAGTCCAGAGTGCGCCGCACACTTTATCCTCCGTATTCATGCGCAGTAAATCTGGGCTGTAAAACGGGAAAAACAAGGTAAATGATTAAGCACTAATGTTAATTGATGTACAGACTTATATGTTCTCCCGATACGGTCCACCCACTAACTCATCCCCTACTTCGAACTTATCTCTTATAACCAGTTTCAGTATTCAAATGTTCCTAATTTTCTGTATATTTATCAATTAATTATGAATGATTTTTATAATATAAAATAACAATATATAGAAACACACTAGATTATAAATAGTAAATTTCGGTATATTTATATCCAATCGTCATGCTTATTTCAATCTCATATTCTGAATACAGTCTTGTTGATAATGGTTATATTTTGTGCATTATAATAAGAGTCGAGGAGCGTTCTCTCGATCTGCACTATATAATTATGTATAATCCTCCTTGTTCAGTTAAGAAACTAGCCGTTGATATGTTTTTTGATGCTGCAGCTCTCATGTTCTTATATAAAATAGACCCTCATAGCAGGTTATAAATTTCTAGAACCCAAAATATGCAACTAATCAACAAACGGCAGATGTTTCTTACTCTATACAATAGGGAGGGACTGAACCACCGTAAGAGAACTGTTAACAAACTCTATCTCCTAAAAATAAAGAATACGTTAATAACTAATCTTATGATAAATATATATGAACAATACTTTGATATGTAGACATACAAAATATATTAAAAAGGAATTTTTGTACTGAACTGGTTCATAAAATGTTCATTATGTTGACTTTCGGAATGAATTTTTTATATGATATCATCTTACTTGTTTTTCCCTCAGACTGAACATCTAACTGATGCATATAACAACATGTTACCAGAATTTGGTCGCCTAGTCGTTGCAGACGATATAGATCCAGAACGATACAAATGGTTCTTCAAAAACGAGTGTATCGAATGGGATGACAGTTTAGACAAATTTTGCTTAAATTCAAGAAAATTACACGAAAAATTGTTTATTTCTTTAATTCAAAGTGCATCACACGACATTCAGGTAACAGTAAACGATTCTAACAAAGATCTTTATAAATTTACTCTAAATAGAATTCGGAAGAATCCACCGGCAGTGAATATTGAAATCGAAATTATATTTCCACGGAATATAGAGGAAAATCATGTGATTCAGAGTCTTAAAGAAGTGAAAGATCGCCACTATCGTTCAGTACTAGAATCAGCAAATAGAGATTTACCTAAAATATGTAGAAGAGTAATAAATGTGGATATTGTCCCAGGTTTGTATTACATTTGGTCATGAAGTTAACATTCAAAGTAAAATATATTTTTTTATTCATATACATGTACTCGTATGCAGTTTGAAAATAGTTCGCATTAGTTGTACGGTAAAACCTTTGCAGAGCAACACCCTTTTAAGTTTGGAAAATAAGAATTATGTTGGTTGCTAAGAGATTTCGTTATAGACAAGTGACATTTTTTGCGAAGTCTTAATTTTGTCTGAAAATATTTTACTACTCCAAGCCGGTCTGCATTGTATTGTACTTATTTATTACATGTTTATAAATATTTTTCGATGTGATGGCGATTAAAGTTATATTCTTAGAAAAAAATTAGGTAAAAATGTATTGTAATACATGTACATGCTTTACAATCTTTTGCCAATAATTGTCCGTGTATATGAAAATTAGTTGTGTAGCTTATTTTATTTCCCGAATATTTCTTCAGCTATTCAGATAGGAATGGAAAAAGTCCCTGATCCTACAGACTGGAACAAGACAATGGAATGCCCAAGATACGCTGTTTTCAGATGGGTTGAAACGAATCAAGCTGCTGCAGGAAAATATGCCTGTCCACCGGAATTAAGATGGCGTCTGTGTAGTTCCGGTTATGAAAAACACGTGATAGATGTTGCGCGCGGATCAACAGAACAAAGCTACATTTTAACCGCGCTGCGCATTTTGAAATGGAAATTTACGTCCTTACAAGAAACATGGGAGCCTCCTCAACTTGTAGCACATGTGCGGTCTTATCATTTGAAGCATATAGCATTTTACTGCATTTTGTATCTCACTGTACTGAACAAAGTTCATTTGACAGGTGTCAAACAAGCGCTAGCATATTTACTTGACTTTTTAAGCATTGCTTTAACTGAACGAAGACTTCCCCACTTTTTTCATGATAATGAATTCATAGTTTACATGTTTCCGGACTATAATGTGGCAGACAACACTTTAAGATATGATTTATTCATCGACAAGACAGATGATTGTTTGCTACAAGCAAAGATGTCCTTTAAAAGGCTAAAACTGCGGGAAGAAATGTGTGATAATGTATTTACTTACCCAGAATACGCAAACACGTTTCAAAAGTACATTCAAGCTGGAAAGTATTACACGGGCAATTATTGTCGCGCGTATGAACATTAGGAGATACGAACTCGAAGTGCAAATGAAATTGACAGACGTAGGACTAAAATTTAATTGCTAGAAATGGTGCTCAAACTTTGATAACTCTGTGATTGTCAGAGGGTACATGAGAGGATTTGACGTTAGTCACCAGTCAATATTACCAATGACCTTCATCTTCTAGATGATTGCAATGGATAGTGGGGTTATCTTTACGTCTATTCCTGCACCGCCGCGTTAAAATATTGGGGGGATTTATCCATCTTGCTGTGTGGTATTTAAGTGGATATTTTACCATTTGACTATAACTGTAGGGCGATGTCTTTAAACAGGTGTTTTATATGCCCGAAAGGGCATATTATGTTATACCCCCTGGCGTCCGTCCGTACGTCCGTCCGTCCGTTAGCAATTTGGTTTCCGGAGCATAACTTTAGTTCCATTTGGCCCACAATGTTCAAACTTCTTAGGATGAGTGTCCATATTGGGTAGAAGACCCCTATTGATTTTGTGGTCACAAGGTCAAAGGTCAAGGTCACTATTACCTTGATACTGGAAACAGTTTCAGGAGCATAACTTAAGTTCCATTTGGCCCACAAAATCCAAACTTCATAGGATGATTGTCCATATTGGGCAAAAGACCCCTATTGATTTTGGGGTCATTAGGTCAAAGGTCAAGGTCACATTACCTTAAAACCAAAAACAGTTTCCGGAGCATAACTTAAGTTCCATTTGGCCCACAATATTCAAACTTCATAGGATGATTGTCCATATTGGGTAGATGACCCCTATTGATTTTGGGGTCACAAGGTCAAAGATCAAAGTCACTTTTACCTTAATACTGAAAACAGTTTCTAGAGCATAATTAAAGTTCCAATTGGCCCACAATATTCAAACTTCTTAGGATGATTGTCCATATAAGGTAGAAGACCACTATTGATTTTGGGGTCACAAGGTCAAAGGTTAAGGTCATTATTAATAACTTAAGTATTAATCAACCTACAGCTGTAAAATTTTATAGGATGAACAGCGAATTCCCATGTCTTACAAATGCTTCATCCTTACTAAAAAAAAACACTTTCGGGCATATAATGCTCCGCCTAGCGGTGCTCTTGTTTTATTCTTCAGTGGTTAGTAGCGGAGATACATTTGACTGGTGCATTAACGTTAGAATAGATTTGTTACAGTACAGTTCTGCTCAGAACAAAGTTGAATTATATGGTATATCAATTAATTAAATCATATAGATGTTAAAACCCGCTTTATTGCATTTAAGCAATTTTCATCATTGTGTGTTGTATAAATGTATATAAAACACATTGTTGTTAACAGGTTTATATACATGTACATGTATATATTTTGAATCCCCTTCCGCAAAGCGGGGAGGGGATAATAGAAATGGCCTCCGTCCGTAACACTCGTGTCCGCTCCGTAACTTTTAAACCGCTGAAACAAATTGAAATAAGTTGGCACAAGTGGTCAATATTGTTGGACGATGTGCAGAGCGCAATAATTCGGTTGCTACCCCTAAAGTCAAGGTCACACTTAAAGATCTTTTGAAGTGTTGAAAAGTCTACATTTCGTGTCAGCTCCATAACATATAACCCCTGCAATGTTTTTAAGACTATTTTGGCAGTAATGATCACCATCATGCCACCATGTGCAGAGCACAACAATCAAGTCACTACCCTCAAGGTCAAGGTCACACTCTAAGGTCCAATGTTAAAACATCTATTTTCCATGTCCTATCTATAACTTTATTGACAATTAAAATATTTTTAAATTACTTGGCACAAATGATCCACAGCATGACACAATCTGCAGAGTACAACATCAAGGTTACTACCTCCAAGTTACATCCAGGATGCTACTCCCAAGGTCAATATTAAATGTTCTCCATATCTTTTTGACTTTATGGAAGATTTTAAATAAACACCATCGTTAGACTATGTGCTTTTGATATGCATGACACATCATCGAGGGCATAGTTGGCTAAAGGTCAATAAGTACATACTTCATGTCCGCTGCGGAAGGGGATTTAGATGTAATACAATTCTGGGGAAGTGACATTTCCTTTTTATTTTCATTAATATATTTTTGATTTGGCCTTAACTGTACCTCCTTTGATAAATTATTTCTTCGCATTGTACCTGATTATTGAAAGAATAATAGCAGTTGTCTTGATTCAGAAGTTTGGAAAACGGTCAGAAGTTCCGATTAGTTAATCTGTTAGACCACTTCCGTGACAAGATGTATTTTGTTTAAGGCACTCTAATGACCATCTAGCGGCGGGTAGCTTAAATTCTGACTGTATATCTTAAATACATGTAGGTGTTGCATATCTTTCTGCTGTAAGTGCAAATGTTGATTTTAGTAAGAATTTCAAATTTTATGTTTGAAGCCTTTTGTACCTTAGTAAAGTTTCTTTAACAATAATATTTATTGGCGGGAACATCCGCCAGTGCATGCTTGTTGCTACTTTTTAATCACACGTTTGTTAGATATACATTGTTTCATAGTAATGTTACAAATGCTTACCTGCTTTTGCTTATTTGAAAATTTCATCCTAATTTTATAGATTAAAGTGTAAATGTCTAAATACACTGCTTTCTGGAATATCACTAATAAAACTTATTCATGTAATTTTCGCATTATTTCTATTCTTCTTTGCATATTATATTACTAAAGTTATTGTACCATGCTTGAGAAAATGTGCCTGTTGATTTTTTTGACATGTTAAAAACATTTCATACAAACTTTACACGGTACGATTCAGAATTATTAATTATAACGCTTATCGCACAATTAACCCTCACCACGCCTTATATCAAAAATGAACTTGTCCATATTTCAATCTTGACAAACCTATTCGTTACTTTTATGGGAATTTTCAAAAAAAAGTGCATTAACCTGGAGGCTCATATTTACATATAAAGCACTTGACGCTAGTAGAAGAGACAGTCGAGAAAAAATGACAGTACTACTAACGATATAAATTTTGTGTAACTTCGTAATAAACACACCATTCTATAATGAGCCCACCGTCATTAACCCATTGATCCGACTTTTTCTTACTACATTGTACATGTTTACTGCAATAGGCACATTGCGCTAGTCTAGGAAACATGACCGCCAAATGCCTTATCGGCAAAAGCATATCCTGATACTTCGAGAAAGGCGAACATCGCGCCATCGCGTTTTCACCTTCGTACCATCGTGCATCGCGGGTACAGACTAAATAAAAAATTGCGATTGTCCAAAGCTTCCCATTGGTACGTTTTAGCTCGACTATTCGACAAGAATAAGTCAAGCTATTGTAGTCACCCGAGCGTCGGTGTCGGCGTGGGCGTAACCACTTATGTTAAAGTTTTTGTAATACCTCAAATATTTTCAAAGTCCATTGACATATGACGAATTTTGACGAATCATGCCCCTTTTCAACTTAGAATTTATATTTAAGTTTTCATACCACCTTTGATATTTTTATTTTCTATTAAAATCTGGCTTTAAAGCAAGTTTATTTGTTTGACTCTTCTTTGAGAGCATAATAGGACTCTCTCCAAGGCCTATAACTGTAACATGGATTTGAAGAAAAAAATTGCCCTTTTGTTAATTTAGAAAATTTTACATTATCAAGGCTCTTTTACTATCAAGCACTAAGAATAGTCGAGCGTTGCTGTCCTACTTTAAATTGGTTGTGATTGAAAGCACTGTCATGAGATGACGACTCAATTGAGCTAAGAAATTTTAATGTGATAAGTAGCGATACCAATTTAGTAATCATAAACCAGTTAATTTATGAGTTTAGTTCAATTCTTTACCCAATTATTGAAGCATAAGCAATGTGTTGTTTTCTACCAAAAATGTAGGTGTTTATAAGTATGGTGTCAGAGGTTTACAAAACATTAACCGGTGGATATTTTTGGTAAATGTTGACGATTACGTAACCTAAAATGACATGGTGTAGCCAAATTTTAATCACGTGTGTAGCCGCCACGTGTCCGAATGATAGCCCCAAACCTTCTCATGCTGCCGGTAAGACGTCTAATGCGATTTTGAGATAAAATTTGCCATTCTTGGTGCAGAGCTTGTTGCACAGGTTCTGATCATGTCAAAATTGAGGCAAAATGCCGGGTGTGAGGAGAAGGGTTGTGTCTGTCCTGAAATGTTCCGTTGTTATCGATCCTTGTTTTCGTTTTTCTGTTTTTTTCCTGTCTGTTCTGTTAAGTCTTGCATGTTTCGTTGATTTTCTTGTCTCTTGATTCTTCTTGTGTGTCAGTTGTTCTCGGTTTTTCTATGTCTTGTTGAGAAGTTTTCCGTTCCGTGTCTTGCAAAATGTTTCGTTAAGTTTGCTATTTTACCCGTCTTAGACATTCCTAATGAGGATTTACAGTGTTTTCTGTCCTGTGTGTGGTTGTATATTTATTTGTCTCTTGATGTTTTTATCAAGGTCATCCTGGCCGTTTACTGTTCTAGTTTTTTCTTGTCTGGTTTTTCTCTTGTCTGCTTACAAACTTATGTGTGTTACGTTGTAGTGTTCTTGTTCAATTACGTTTGGAATGCTGTATCTCCGGTCTTTTGCTGCGTTACGTCTTTGTTATATGTTTCTATTTGTATTTGTTAACATTCCGTTGTTGCGTATTTCGTAGTAGTTCCTCTGTAATCGATACTCGTTTCAGTTCTTCTGTTTGAGGTCTTCGTTCCCTGTTGTTCCGTTGTCAGTTCCGTTAAGTATTGTTTTTGATGTTGATATACTTGTGTCTTGTTCCATTAAGTCTATTTTGTCTGTTCCGTGTCATGTCCTGTCGTCATTTATTTATTTGTATTTTATTTATATGTTAATTTATTGTTTTGTAGAACGCTGCATTGCCTTTGTTGTTATCTGCCTCTGTTATCGGTCTCCGTTTCGGTTCCTGTTTTTGTGCTTTGTTTCATTAAGTCTCTTTGTGTAGTGTCCTGACATATGTATGTTACATTCAGTAGAAGGCTCTTTTATCTTCATGGTGATGTCCCTTTGGTGATGTCAGTTTCTGGAAGTTAGTCTGTATCTGTAGGTTTTAACCGTTTACTGTCCTGTTTAGTGTTATCGTATCAATCATATCTTGTTCCATCTGTTTAATTCATTGTTTTGTATAATGTCCCACTTTTATCGGTTCCTGTTCCGTTGTCTACAGTTCTACTAAGTCTTTTCTTGTCTGTATTGTTGATGTGCGTGTGTCATGTTCCATTAAGTCTCTTTACGATCCGTTTAGTCTTCCTGGTGAGATCCCTTTTTGTATGTCTTTTGCTGTCTGTTCCTTGTGTATATTTAGGTCTTTCGAATTGAATTCTGGTCAGTTCAGTCTGTATCTGTATGTTTTAACCGGTTACTGTCAGTTTGTATGCTCTATTCGTTTAGTCTCTATGTTCTGGCTTTGACAGTATTGCTGTCATTTCATTCGTTCAGTGGAGTAGCGGGGATCGAACTCACGACCCCTTGATTGGTAGGCAGACAGTGTAACCACTGCACCATAGCGCCCGGTCTGAATAAAAACTGTTTTTGAAAGCCCTATATACATAATTATTTGAAAGGCTAACACAAAATGCATTGCAATTAACTTTTAACACCTACTTAGGTAGCAAACCCACGTGACTTTTTATATATTGTCAAAGAGAATATTACTCGATTTAAGTAATATCTTTATAGATAACTTTGCTGTTATTTTAAGATACCTTGGAAATTAGGTGGAGGGTACCCAGAATTTATAGGTATATCAAATGGTGTGATAATCTTTTTGTAGAATTTTCCTAATACCGAGACAAAATTCCGAAATTTTCAAGAGCTGCTATATGGTATCGTAAGCACATGTACCAATCTACCGATTTCATACATTTAAAGCAAATAAACGGGCTATTTTGCATTATGAAACGTTTTAAATTCCATGAGAAACTTGTCATTGAATTTAATTTGATGATAAAAGGAAATGATGTGATCGTAAACACTGCAATCTAGATCAAAGCGCTGAAAGCACTGCATGCAACGTCTGAACTTCGGCTATTATAACACAAATTAAACAAATAAAAGAATTCGAAATATCATTGCCTCATATTAAATCAGTGGCTTTTACATCTCAACAGTTAGATTATGTAATTTAAAGGTCCCTTGAAGGTGATATATTTTATGCCGTAATCTTAGAACATATTTAACCTTTTCATACACAAATTTGCATTTTAACCGCAAATTATGTTTAACATGAATGTTTACATTGTACAACTTTATAATCTAAAACTTTCCATTTCCCGTTATTTAAATGCTTCTAGCTTTAAAAAAAATAGGCGCATGCCACTCAACTTTAAAATTTACCTTATTACAAACTACTGTTTCTACAAAAAAAAAACACCGCTTCTGGAATCTAGATAATTTTCTTGCACTGTCTTTCAAAATCTAAAATGACTATCTCATACTCTTCTGGAGTATTCGCCCATATAGGCAAAGGGTGGCGAGTATAAATACTCATATATACATGTACAATACATACTACAGTATTCTGTATAAATTAACAAGTACAATTGTATAATATTTTCCTTTTTCCACTCATATACATGTATCACATAGCACATCTGCTATAATACTAGACAGGAGCTAGATGTAATGTTTATCAATGATAACTATGGCAGGTGGTCAAGTCACGGATTTACTATATATCTAAAAGAATTCCGGATTCCGGCTATTCCGAATTGCATGTGTTTACTTTTTACATAATTATGACACCGTTTCACGGGAGAAGTCATTCGCCTCATAGCGTCACCTGGTATCCAAATATGACTGACTATATTCGTTTCTGTCTGATACGTATAAGTGCTTGCGTCTCAATGAACATTTTATCGATTTTGAAAATGCATCAATTTTATGAAAATATGCTGTTAGAAGGAAAAGGAGTAGTAAAATAATGAAAGAAAAATTCACTAGGCAGTTGCCTTATTAAAAGATCTACTTCATCCCGTAGCTATAATTGTATAGTCATGTACACAAATTCTATTTAAGTGAGAAGCAATGTGCAATTAAGTAATAGTACACATACAAATGAAACAATGATTTTGTTGAAATTATAGAAATGTGCAAAGAAGCAATAGCGTATATTATACATGAATTTTAATAAAAAAAGAAGCAATTGGTGTACAGTCAGAGAAATAGATAACATATTTAAGACAATTGTACATGGAAACAATTTCATGTAGTTAATTTCATGTAGTTAATTCAGTTAAATAAAAAGCAATGTGCAATGGAGTAGACTTATAAAGGCAGTTTGACATATTCAAAGTTCAGTTATTAAATCAATGAATAAGAATGCAATCAACATACATGTACATGGATTAGTAACATTCAGATATAACATGTCATCAAGATACATATATTTTTGGCGGATATTTCCCTCCATAGTCTAATGGCCAAGAAACATGGTTTCCGAATGCCCGCAACGCCGATTGCTTTTTAGCATGCGTGGCGATTTTCTCTGATGGTATAATCCTTTCAGCTACCATGGCATACTAAAGCGTATTCGCTAAGTTGGCACCTTTCCTCTTCGGAATCCGTAGATTGCATTTATTTCTATCATATGTTATAATACAGGATGCTTCGTGGACCAGGTCAAGGATGAATTTGAAAAAAAAAACGTGTTTCTGTGCGAATTAAACACAATGAAAAAATCAAAGTCAGTTAAGAGTGTACAATCGATTACAGGTGCCCAAGCTATATATTGATCAAGGATAAAATGAATGAAATTAAAGCATCCATTTCAAGTGAGAATTTCATTTGTCTTACCTTTGTGCCGGGAAGTTTCAAATGTCTGTTATTTGTAAAACCTTTGCATAAAATGTATGAAGACATTAGGGGGGGGGGGGGATTATTTTATAGCCGATATTGGGTCATATACCCAATGGAAAATAGTATATATCATTTTCCAAATTCACGGGGGAAAATCCCAATTAAAAGTTACAAGATCAAGATTATAAAGTCATTGAAAGTAAGGGCTTTTTCATGTTTGCATTCATGTACTCCCTGTAAAATTTCAGTTATGAATTTTTCCCCAATTTCTGAAGAAAACATTGCTGAAATCCCTAATTCCATGGGTATGGGTCATGTTCCCCAAATTCTTGACAAAATTCTTGGAAGTTTTGCATTTGAAATGAGGAGATAAATATTCATCTGTTTAAATTTGAAAACACTATAGCGATATGGTTTGGCTTTTCCTAGTGAACTCCCAATAACGTAACTGTTACTTTTATAGACAAAACTAAATTATAAATTTATTTTCCATTTTTGTGCCCCCACTTTAGGGGGAGGGGGGCAGTAAGATTTACCCTTGTCCGTCCGTCCGTTCTCATTTTTGTGTCGCACGTAGCTCAAAAAGTATTTGAGTCATGAAACCTTACAGGAATGTTGCTCAGCGTGTGAAGTTGTGCACCTGGGTATTCGTGTGGATATATTTAGTATTGTTAGAGTTATTGCCCTTGATTTAATAGAAATTTGCAATTTTCAACTTGTGTCGCACATAGCTCAAAAAGAATTTGACATAGGGTCATGAAACTATACAGGAACGTTGATCAGCATGTGTAGTTGTGCACCTGGGTATTTTCGTGTAGATTTATTTAGTGTTTGTAGAGTTTTTTTCCTTGAATTAGTAAAAATTGCAATTTTCAACTTGTGTTACACGTAGCTCAAAAAGTATCTGACATAGGGTTATGAAACTTTACAGGAATGTTGATCAGCATGTGAACTTTGCATCTGTGGTTCGCTTGTGAATTTATATGTTTTGTCAGAGTTATTGCCCTTGACTTAGTGAAAATTTGCAATTTTCAATTTGTGTCGTGCGTAGCTCAAAATGTATTTAACCTAGAGTCATGAAACTTAACAGGAATGTTGGTCAGCATGTGTAGTTGTGCACCTTGGGTTTCGCTTGTGGATTTATCCAGTATTTGTAGAGTTATTGCCCTTGACTTAGTAAAAACCGTTTCATTATGTTGTGTTATTTGTTCCTTGAGTGCTTGAGTTAGAATCAACCAACTTTACAGGAATAATGATCAACATCACTGTGAAGCTATGCACCTGGGATTTTGCATGTGGATTTTTTTTCAGTTTTGTTAGAGTTATTGCCCTTGACTTAGTATAAATTTGCAATTTTCAACTTGTTCATGCATAGCTCAAAAAGTATTTGACCTGTAGGCCTGAAAGTTTACAAGAATGTTGGTCAGCATGTGTACTTATGCACCTTGTGGTTCGCTTGTGGATTTATTCAGTCAGTTATTGCCATTTACTTAGTAAATAATTTTAGTTTTCAACTTGTGGCACATGTAGCCCTAAAAAATTTGACTCCAATACCGAATCAGATGGATTATTTGAAACTAATAAAATGGGACGCTTGGCAATGACTCCGAATATGATCCTCATATTTAAATGTTTTCAGTTAATATGAAAAATGTTTGACTACCTGAAACGCTCTAAAAATCTTCAATTTCCAATTTTTCCTCTTCCTTGTGCACGCGGTTAAACACGTGTATCTATAGTCGCAATTCAATTTCCTTTGGGCCCGACCACTTCCCATGGAAACAGAAATTCTTAATCCGCCCGCTGCATACAATTATTTTATATAACTTTGAAGAATATGCACACGCATGACCATGTTTTAACAAATCAACATTTGGATAAGACTATTTCATTTGTAAATGTGTATATTTGTCTAATATAAACTACGTTTAGACCTAGGCAGTCGAATGCATGCAATGGCCAAGAAAAAATAATGAAAAGAATAACAGCACAGCATATATATTAATGTTTATTTTAGTTATGTTTTCAAGATACATATCGAATGCACAAGAAAATGTATCCGTCAAACAGATCATTATCATTCTACAGGTAAACCCTGTTTACGAAAGACAAATCATATAAACTAATTTACAAAAATATATAAAAGAAAATGTTAAGTTTTCGTTTGTTTTCTTTTTTGTTTGTTTTTTATGTTAATGTCTATACATGTATTTGTTTGAAAATGTTTATGGAACTCTTATCCCACAACTACAGAACCGGAAGCGCCACCTCCAGTTGAAGATGCTGAAGATTTTAGTTTTGCTAGTTCCAGTTTAATGTCTGCAAGAAGCTGAACATCACTTGAAGGGTCAACTGTCTGGGCATATCTATAAATAGGTCTGCCATCTGGACCAATCAGAAACTTTTCGTAGTTCCATCGGATGTCTTCGGTGTAAACCGGACTGTACAAGATAGGCGTGTAGATCTTACGGTACACCGTCGGACAAAGAGACTGAAATATCAATAATGGGTTTGGTGCAGAAAGATACATTTTTAGTTCCAGGTTATTCGAAATAATTTCAGAGGGAGAACCTAAATGTGATTGTCCGGTTGCTTTAGGCGTCCATAGTTTTCTAAAGCAGACTGACCTTTAGTATATATATCTTGTTTTTATTTTTGAAAATATTATCAAACATACAAGATGTTCGCTACATTATCTTAGGAACCGTAAAGGTTACTATATTTCGGCTTCGTTGACACTCAAACATTTTTCAATACATTTAGACATTATGAACTTTATCATTTTTACAGAGTAGTGAATATCACGTATTTGTAGGAATAGGTAAGAAATGTACAACGCGTGAAGTGTGTTATAAGCCCCTATATATAAGATAAGATTCCAGCCTCGCTGCTACTTTTGCCAGTTAGTTAGAAAATAGCATATGAAACATGCCATGACCTTAATTAAGCATGTATTTTAAAGAAAACAGGCATCGAAAAGAACGGCGCCTCTCAAGACGATCATGGCGCTCCATATAATATCGCTGATTCTTGAAATGTGCGATTAAATCCAACAAGAATTCTTTATATAATATTTTGCTATTTGAAGAAAATATACCTTAAGATATGTAAACATTTTGTGCTCCTTGTACCCGTTTACATCGACAATTTCTGTCAGTGGAAAGTTTGGAACGAACCCGTTGCCGGGACGGACGTATTTCAGTCCATTCATCAGCTCCACACCATTCCAAGCTGGCTCTTGCTGTAAATAAAATAAGAATATTTGATCAGGATCCATGCTGTTCGCTTATCAACCCTTTTACAAGTCGAAAAACTGATAGCGAACAGCATGGATCCTGATCAGACTGCGCGGATGCGCAGGCTGGTCTGGATCCATGCTGGTCGCAAACCCATTATGTTGGTTTTGTCGTGACACGGCTCATTTATTCATTTCTGAGGTATAATGTGCCTTTTACTGATCCCGACTCAAACACCACAAAAGCTACACTTGTCTTGAACGTTTTTTTACTTTATAAGCGCAAGAGGTTAGTAGTTTCTGACAGAAATATACATTTCTTTATACAACCTCTGTAGAACAACACCCTTTGGGAGACAAATATTTTGGTTGTTGGTGAGAGAGGTTGTTCCAGAAGAGATGATAATGTTGAAAAGAGGTGACTGCTTTACAGAAGGCCGCATTGCATGGGTTTTACTGTATGTCGTGGATATCATATAAATATAAATAGCAATTTTTTTTCAGAAGCGAATTGAAAACTGACAAATGTCGGTTTCTTTTGTTACCACGATTTTATCAATGTCAAAAAAATAACTTACCAAGTAAAACTGGTTACAAGGTACACCAAGAGCCTGGAAACCTTCAGCACCATGGGTAGACTGTAGTGCATTCAGTCCATGGTACTGTACAACGTACCCTCAGTAGGTAGCCACGTTGACAATCAACGTTACTTTCCCACGAAGAGACGACAGATCGATAGATTCATTCCCGTAAACGTTATTTATAGAATAATCAAAAATAGTGCTGTTGCTAAGAGACGGATCGCACGTGCTCCTTGGAGGCGTGTCTCCGTCAACCTCGCTTGCTCCAGCAAGCGCTGCTGTAAGCGAGAGAAAAGCGCCGATGACGCTACCTCCCTTCATGATTTAAGGCAAGCTTGCAAATGATAAGTTAAGAGAATAGGAACTCTATAAATGCTAACTATCTCTTATCTTGTGTATTTTTAACCTAACTCTTATCTTGTCCTTGTTGGTGTAAGATTGACATATGATGTTGTTCACTTCAAATAGGAATTATGTGAGAATTGGAGTAGTCAATGCATGTTTGTCGGATCCGACAACAGTGAAAATAACTGATAACGAAGTTGAAGGGTCTAACATGTAGGTTTAGTACTTTTGGATATATTGAGTACTTGCAAAGATAGCAGTTCAACGATAGCAGATAGCCTTTATTGGACACTTACAAAGATAGTAGTTCAACGCTCGGCTTGATTTAACAAGAGCGATCAGTAATCACATCGCCTCATGATGGCCAATTTCATGTTGGGACAAATTTTGTGACAGACGGACAGACAGCCCGGACAGTGCACAACTAGACTTGGTACTGATCATTCCTGTAAAGTTTGGATAAAATTGCACCAGTAGTTTATGAGGAGTAGTCCGGACAAGCTTTTGTGTATCTGGCAACACACAGAAAAAAACACCTTTTTATCAAAGGGCCATAACTCGGCCAAAAATCATTCAACCGGAAAACCCGTGCAATATGCGCAAGGACTTGAGCTACAAATCAATCCTGTAAAGTTTCATTGAAATTGCATTAGTGGTATAAGAGAAGTAGTCCGGACAAACTTTAAATTAAAAATTATTAAAGGGCCATAACTCTTGACAAAAATCATTGAACCGGAAAATAATGACAATATGCACAACTAGACTTGATACTGATCATTCCTGTAAAGTTTGGATGAAATTGCACCAGTAGTTTATGAGGATTAGTCCGGGCAAGTTTTGTGACGGACGGACGGACGGACGGACAGACAGACAGACAAACGACGAAGAAGTGATCCCTATATGTCGCCACTACTCCGTAGAGGCGACACAAAAATCTTTTCCATTTTATATCGAACTAAATTTTGTTAAGATGGAAGCTAATTGATTGATTTTGTGCAATAACGTTGGGTATTTTCAAGCTTTTAACATCGAGATCAAAAGTATGTAAACTGAAAAAAAGCCGAGGATCCTGTATTTTCAGTGAAAGCTGCTAAGACCCGAAAATTCAGCGATACCATGAATAAAACTAACAAGCAGATAATAAATAACCTGCTGTTTACTTTCGACGATAACATCAAATTCTATGCAACGTGCCAAATGATCCGAAGTTATGTCCACTACCTAATGCATTGGTTAAAAATAGGAACAGTGCAGGTCTGCTTAAAATTCAAATATTTTGCAATGTGATCGGTATCATATACATATAAACATAGGCAAAATGAAAACTCAGAATTCACTTAAACGTTGCATGATCTAAGAATATGATAACCAACAATTATAAGTGTAAAAAAGTTTTTTGTTGGTTTTTTTTGTGTGTGTTTTTGGTTTGTTACTTATCAATAAGGACACACTTTGCAATTATATTATCTCTGAGAGGTGACAAACTTATATACATGTATAAGATTTAGAACATGGAGTAGAGAAAATATAATCACACATAGATAGTTGTTATCATTAATTTATTTCATTTTTTTTTCTTTTATAGCACTATCTTTTCAAAATAACTCATTTTGTCAAAAACACAATAAATTATACCATCTCAAAATTGTTTTTCGTTTACATTTCACAATATTAGCAAGATGAAAACCATGGTATTAAGGAATAAATTCTCTTTTTTTCTGTTCCTTCAACACAAACATAATTATAATTCAATTACATACTGAAAATGTAAAGGTCAAACAGGCTTTCCACTTTTATTGGCGGAAGAAAACATCAGGTACCATTTTTACATTATTTCAGAAATGAGGTTTCACAAAACAGACCCACCCCGACACATTTTTAAACTAACTCCATAGCTTCCTCACAATTTCCCACACATTTAAGAATCCAAATTTCTTATACAGGATTTAAACCCGCAGCAGTAAGGGTCAAGCGCATAATTACCATATGTAAGGAATACAATATATTTCATATCAAATGATAAAATAAATTACCTATTCTTAAGCCATTTATTATTATTATTTTTATTCATTACACTAATAATTACAGATAGTCATTATTTCAAAGGAATATTGTAAAATTAATAAAATCCTTGCAGGTAAATGATAATAATCCATGATCTATTTAACACACATAATTTAAATCTAACTTAACCCTTTAATTTCCTGCCTTCCTGAAAACAATAATTAAAAATGTATTAATAAAGCTATGAATTAGAAAAACAAATCCTAAAGTATTCCACAAGATTCTCAGGAACCCTCATTTAAAAAAAATGAACTATGAACATAACACAGTGATCAATGCACTTCCAAGCATAATTACACTGTCGACAGTGAAATAAATTCTCAACAGTAAATAATTTACACTTCATATATAATGAGATCCATGTTTATAATCTGAATTTGCAAATGAACATTAGAGCTTTTTCTTTCTAAATTTACATTACATTACTGGGGCTTTTTTGTCAATATTTACTAATAACATGGGGCCTTTTTTCCAATCTAAATTTATAGTAGTGCATCGGGGCTTCTTCTCCCTAAATTTGTTAATAAGAACATCAGAGCTTTCTTTTTATCGAAATTCACTTTTGAATATCAGAGCCATTTCAAATTAAGACAGAGTAACATGTAACTCTTCTTTTCTTATCATTTGCCCTTTTTTTAATATTGTACGCTTTATACAGATTGCCAAAATATTGCAGACAACATATTAAAGAATTTTAAGGGCAGAATTTTTTTTGTAAATGCTGCAAGCTATATATCTGTGCATTGTCTATATGGGAATGCAACAAAAATGAGTCATATGTCCAAGATGTGTAAAACACATCTTCCCCTCAATAAATGAAAAAGAAAAATGCACCAAGTATGACAGTAATGAGAATTTTAAACAAGAGGGCCATGATGGCCCTAGATCGCTCACCTGAATTATCAAACTCATCCAAACAATTACCTAGACAAGCATTCTGACCAAGTCTCATGACAGGTGAGTCAAAAATGTGACCACTACAGTGTTAACAAGGATTATCCATATTTGAGCAGTGCGACCTAGTTTTTTACCCAGGTGACACATATTCAAACTTGACCTAGAAATCATCAAAACAAACTTTCAGACCAATTTCCAGGATACTTGGATCAAAACAGTAGCAACTAGAGTGTTAACAAGATTTTTCTATTTTTAGCTCCGGTGACCTAGTTTCACATGCGATTTCGAACTCATCCAAGCAATTACCTAGACAAGCATTCTGACCAAGTTTGATGATAATGGAGTCGAAAATGTGACCACTAGAATGTTAACAAGGTTTTTCCATATTTGGGCGGTGTGACCTAGTTTTTCATCCAAGATGACCCATGTTCGATCTTGACTTAGAAATCATCAAAACAAACTTTTCAGACCAATTAACAGAATATTTGGATCACAACAGTAGCCACTAGAGTGTTAACAAGATTTTTCTATTTTTAGCTCCTGTGACCTAGTTTTTCATCCGAGATGTCCCATGTTCGATTTATTCCCCAGCAATGACCTAGACAAGTTTCCTGACCAAGTTTGATGACAATTGAGTCAAAATTGTGACCACTAGAGTGTTAACAAGGTTTTTTCTATTTTTAGCTCCTGTGACCTAGTTTTTCATCCGAGATGACCCATGTTCGAACTCATCCGAGTTATTACCTAGACAAGCATCTTGATCAAGTTTGATGATGATTGATGCAAAAATGTGACCGCTAAAGTGTGTTAACAAGGTTTTTCTATTTTTAGCTCCGGTGACCTACTTTTTCATCCGAGATGACCCATGTTCGAACTCATCCAAGCTATCAACTAGATAAGCATCCTGACCAAGTTTGATGATGATTGATGCAAAAATGTGACCGCTAGAGTGTTAACAAGGTTTTTTCTATTTATAGCTCCGGTGACCTAGTTTTTCATCCGAGATGACCCTTATTCGAACTCATCCGAGCTATTATCTAAACAAGCATCCTGACAAAGTTTGATGATGATTGGGTCAAAAATGTGACCACTAGAGTGGTCACAAGGTTTTTCTATTTTTAGCTCCTGTGACCTAGTTTTTTCATCAGAGATGACCCATGTTCGAACTCATCCAAGCAATTGACTAGACAAGCATTCTGACCAAGTTTGATGATGATTGGTTCAAAAATGTGACCACTAGAGTGTTCACAAGGTTTTTCTATTTATAGCTCCTGTGACCTACTTTTTCATCCGAGATGACCCATGTTCGAACTCATCCGAGCTATCACCTAGACAAACATCCTGACCAAGTTTGATGAAGATTGGGTCAAAAATGTGACCTCTAGAGTGTTCACAAGGTTTTTCTATTTTTAGCTCTTGTGACCTAGATTTTTACCTGAGATGACCCATGTTCGAACTCATCCGAGCTTTCAACTAGATAAGCATCCTGACCAAGTTTGATGATGATTGAGGCAAAAATGCGACCGCTAGAGTGTTCACAAGCAATTGTGGACGGCCGGACGGACGACGGACATTCATCGATCCTAAAAGCTCACCCTGAGCAAGCTCAGGTGAGCTAAAAAAAATCTATGGTATGCAAGTAACAATAAGTTTAGAAGAAAATATTAAATGTTTGGTGATATAAACTGTTTTCAATAAATTAATACATGTACTTTAATCATAATACAAAAATATTTCCCATAGATCTAAGTTTGAAACTTCACCCACGAAATGCTGGCCACATCAAAACAGCCTGAAGTATAATGCCAAGCCAGCCTTCATTATGACCAACCTGAACAAAATTCATTAAGACCAAGCTTAATTAAGACCAACCTGACCAGCATTCACTAAGACCAGTCTGGCTAGTATTCAGAAAGACCAACATTGACCAGCTTTCATTAAGACCAAACTAACAAGCCTTTATAAAGACCAGCCTTCATCAAGACCAGTTTAGCAAGACTTCATTAAGACCAGTCTGACAAGACTTCATTAAGACCAGTCTGACAAGACTTCATTAAGACCAGTCTGACCAATCTTCATTAAGACCAAGCTAACCAGTCTTCATTAAGACCAATCTGACCAGCCTTCATTAAGACAAGCCTGACAAGCCCACCTTCATAAAGACCAGTCTGACTAGGCTTCATACTATTGGCTGCAAAATTTCACAACTTAGAAACCTAAAATTCATTTATATTATTAACAGATACAAGCATATTATACTCATGGGTTAGAATAATCAATAATCTATATGTATCCATAATTATTACATGATTTAATATAAAATTGAACTTCCGCCTTCAAATAATAATGTTTCAAGTGAACAAATTCACACATGCATTTATAAACATTTTAACAAATGTAATTAAGAAACTAAACTTTAAAACTAACTTATCTTGAAAGTAAAATTTCTTATCAAATACTCAAAGTTTATCTTTAAAGGAACTAACCCACATATAGCATGTCTCATTGCAATGGTTAAAAATTGAAGCAAGATTTGAAGATAACTTATAATAAAGAGTTGGTAGAGAAAGTGGGAAAATGGGAGAAAGTAACATATAATTTATCTAGTATCATGTAAATGAGCAACATAACCACCCCCCCCCCCCCCCCCCCACACTCAAATATCTTTAACTGACTTATCCATCTTTGAAAATAGTCCAGTCGATTCATTACTTTTAGGGAAAATTTCAAAATAAAGAAATGTTAAGATTGTAATCAACAAAAAAAATCTACATAATTTCATAGATATTCTACTTACAAATGCAGAAAAACAAAGTGCTATATCAGAAGGAAACTTAGATTATACAAATTCAAACATGCTTTATAACTCAAATTAAATAATTTAATTAATCTCAATTCAAAAATTCTACTTATAAAGTTATAATAATTTTTTTCTACGAGGTTCTCAAGATATCCTGCTAACAGCAGCAGCATCTAGATGGAATGTTGTTATAAATAACCTTAAAAGAGTACCCAAAACTGTATGTAATTACAACCTGAGACATGAGAATTATTAGAGCATTCTCACTAAATGAGGTCAGGTTTCAGACTCACTGTTCTAATGGTACAACAGAGTTGAAAATGGAGATTACTTGAAACAAAAATAACAAAATGTTAAAGATACAAGACACCCAAATATTTAGAAAATCATTTTAAATCTCAACAAATCAATGGGAAATTCTTACAATATTTTCCCAAAAAATTACCCACAAGAGTGAAGAATTGAACAAAAGTAATTTATATAAGCTAAAGAAAGCAAACACAAAATATCATTTCAGACACCAGTCATTCATCCACGCATGTTACGGAATCATATAGTCACCAAAAATTCACGACACACTTTCTATCACCTGTTATTCATCCTCCCTTGAACTGTCACTCACTAAAAACACATGTACTATTAAAACAACAAAAACTGCTGTTTTACATCATCATAATTAGTACATAAAATGTAGTATTAATTCAATTGACAATGACAAGATCTAAATGAAAACAAAACTTCCAGGCAAAATGAATCAATGGAATATTTTGCATACAAAAATCAACTGCTGTATGGGAAACAAAAATATTGCCCTATATCCATGCATTACTCAAAATTTTGTCAGGTCATAAGATATTTCGCTTTCAAAATTTTACGAATGTGAAAATGCATGATTACATGATTATAATAGTAGAAGTAACCAATAGTCTTCTTTCTCATTCAGTTTAAATATTAAAGTAAGGTGAACAAATTTTTTTTATAAAAAATTTATTAAATATTTTAGTTAATCATTACCCTAAGTTTGTTGTTACATTACTCAACCTGTATTTCAGTTGTTAAAGTATAAATTCAATATTAAAGCAATATATCTTCATGTATGAAATTTAAATCCATGATCGTCTCATTAGCTTCAATTATATCCAAGAGATAAATTCTAATGTTTAATTAAATCCGTGATCGTCTCATTAGCTTCAATTATAACCTAGAGATTAATTCTAATGTTTAATTAAATCACTGATCGTCTCATTAGCTTCAATTATAACCTAGAGATAAATTCTAATATTTATTTAATAAGAGGACTATCATCAATCTTGTAGAGCTGAGAATTTATTCCCTAATGATAGTTGTTGGGATGATTTTGTAGGATCGTCTAGCTGTCTACCCCCATGCTGCACTCTCTCAAAACTTCTTGGATCACTGAAATACATAACATATACACGTGTGTGTTTTACTTTTAATCTTTCGTAACCCTTACCATGCTAAATATCAGAAATGGACTTGCCCATCTTAAATTTGGTCAAAGCCATTCATCATTTTAAGGAAAAATTTCTGACTGAAAAGCAAACAGTGCAGACCATGGTCAGATCGCGATGATGTGCTTGCTGATTTTGGTCTGACTTGTCACATAAGTAGATTATGTTGTAAAAAGTAGGATAAAGGTTAAGGAAAATATCGCTAACATGGATGGATGCTTATTTCCCCATATTTGTTTATTTGATTTGGTTTTAAGTCACATCGACACTGTATAGGTCGTATTGTGAGGTTCCAGCTTTACAGGTGGAGGAACACCTCAGGTGCCCTTCTGTGCATTATTTCAGGCACAAACGGGCACCTGAGTAGAACGACTGACGTTCCATAAGCTAGCTGGATAGCTTCCTCACATGAAAGAATCCACAGTCACTGTCGGGATTCGAACCCACAGCGGTGAGGGGCAAGTGGTTTGAAGTCAATGACCTTAACCACTCAGCCACGAACGCCCCTTTATTTCCCCATGATGCTTCTGAAAAGCATTATTTGAAGGCACTTTATGCCTCAGAAACAATTAAATTTTCCTCCTTAGGGCAAAACATATGTTTTGTAATGTTTTGATAATTGACAAATTAAAAAGGCTTAAAATTCCTGGCATCATACCTGTCTTGTTGAACTGGCATTGGACCACCACCAAGTGTTGGAAAGTCTTCTTCACTCCTTAAATTGGGAGCTGCTTTTTTCCTTCTTAAATGAGCAGGAATTGTTGGCCCTGGAGTGGCACCCCCTCCACCGGCTGCTGCGGCCCCACGCTGACTGGGCGGAATATATTTGCCAGTAGTCGGTTTTGATTCTTCTTTAGGGGTTTCTTCTGGCTGAGGTTCTCCTACAAGAATAGCAACCAATTCTATATTTCATATGAAAACACAATATAAGGACAATTTGAGGAAATAATTCAATCACCCTTACGGCGAAATACTGATTAATGAGGACTGTGAGAAAACTTGAAATATTCACTGTCTTACATGAATAGACTCAAACTTGTCAGCAATTTTTTTGTCATTATTTAAGTAATATGCTACTTGAAGCTCTCTATAACTTGAACACAATGACCGGTTTCCTTTTTTAGCAAGCCTTGAGTACATGTAGTACTCTGCAAACAATTGCAATATTTCATGGTATACTGCTGAATTTTCCATAAAAAACTTTCGTCAAAAAAGTATAACTATTACATGTATTAAAAATTTTCAAGGATAGGGATTTGTTACCTGCCTCAACTTCTGATTTCCAAAGACTAAAGGGAATTCAACTGGGGTTCTTTTGACATGGCTGAACTGGAATCTATTTTTTTTTTTTTTTTTTTTTTTAGATTTGTGTACTATATGATGTAGGACCAAAAATTGTGTGCAAAATTTCAGATCATTCGCTTTATCTGTTTGTTCAGTATAAAAATTGCGCTAAATGACCCAAAAACAGACAAGAGGGCCATGGTGGCCCTAAAATTGCTCACCTGTATATAGACCCCTGGGCCAAGGCCAATTTAAAACCAGGGGCTTTTTTCTTTGAACAAACTTGGTAGACACCCATTAGAAGATGTTTCATAATAAATATCTAAGCTCTAGCTCTTTGGGAATTATATAAGGAATTTTTTTTAATTTTTACTATACACATATAAGGAATATCAATGACCCCCTGGGGCAGGTCAATTTTTACCCCAGGGCTTTTATTTGAACAAACTTTGTAGACACCCACTAGAAGATGTTTCATGTTTTTTATCTAAGCTCTAGCTATTTTGTTTTCTTTTTAAAAGAAGATTTTTAAAGTTTTAAAGTTTTTACTAAATACAAATAAGGAAAATCAATGACCCCCCGGGCGGGGACAATTTTGGCCCCAGGGCATTTATTTGAACAAACTTGATAGACACTGACTAGATGATGTTTTATGCCAAATATTTAAGCTCTACCTCTTTTGGTTTTCTAAAAGATATTTTAAGTTTTTTCTTTTGGTTGCCATGGCAACCAGAGTTCTGCTTGGAATTAATAATTTGAACAATTTTTAAAGTTGCCTACCAAAGGAACATTCCTGTGAAGTCTGGATGAAATTGAATTAGTGGTTTATGAGGAGATGTCGTTTAAAGTAAAAGTTTATGGATGGACTGACGCCAGCCAGACGCCAGACAAAAAGCAATCAAAACAGATCACCAATTCACTTTGTGACAGGTGAGCTAAAAAACATTTAAATGCTAAAATTGGCTAAGAATTGCACCAAATTTAATTTAATTCTGGCCATATGTATTATATCTGACATTTATTTTCCATCGTAAGTGATTATCTATGTAAGATTTTCAAATTTTATGTTTTAGGCTTTAGGACCTCAGATTTTTGTGTCTGCCATTTTCTAGGTAGCGTCTGTGAACAGAACTTTGTTGTTGTTTTTTGCCTAGCCTGAATCTCCATACAATCAGAAGGAAGGGCAGGCATAGAAAAATATTTTCAGAGTCACTCGTCCTGCATGACGAGTAGCTTCTTATTCTAATTTGCAGGCAACATTTATCTACTCGTCCTGCACCAAATTCTCTTAAATTCTACTCGTAATTACGAGCAGACGAGGGGAATTTTCAATCTCTGAAGGGTTAAACATAAATGCACAACAACAAATAACTATCAACTATACTAGTGTACCTGCTGGTTTGGGGGTTACAGGAGGTTGTTGTACGTTATCAGATTTTACCCACGGCCCCTGTTGACCAGTATCCCTCTTCTTTTTTCCTTCACCATCATCGTCTTCCTCTTCTACATTCTCCTCTGTCTGTTCTTCAGTCTCCTCATTTTCCTTTTCTCTGTAAGAAACAAAAATAATCAAAATATATTAGGTAAAATTATGTATCATGTACTAAATAAGGTTTGAAGCAGAACAGAACAGATTGTTAAGTTGGTATACATTCAAATGACTCAAGTTTTGTATAAATAAGTCTTGTGATGTAATTTATCAACAACAAAAAAAGAAGAAGTTGAAGCTTATTAACACTGAGACACCCATTTGTTGTTATTCATAATCAATGTTGGTGAAAATAAAGAGTTAGTTTATTCTATCTATGTATTAAAAAACTTCTCGAGATCTGTTAATGATAGTTTGAATCTTGGTTACCTGTTTTTACCAACACCAACTTGCATTCTTTGCAATTAAACCATTTTAAAATACACTGCATCATTAGAATTGAGCTAAATCAGGTTTAGCTACCCAATTTATATTGGCACATTTACATCAATGACACCTACCTATGAACAAATTCATTATGATATGACACAATCACTGTTCTCAGACAAAAGTTCAAACTTCCGTGTTTGGTTTTGTAAATGCTTGTCTCAGTAACATCAACTGATAAATGTATCTCAAACTGATTTTAATAATCTTATGTGATTGAACAAGTATATCATTTCCCAGATTTCATTATTTTAAATCTGAAGTCCATCAACTTACGTTACTTGTAGATTTGCTATTCTTAAACCAGAGTAATCTTTTTCTGCCTCTTCTTCAACTTCCTTCCATTCTTCTTCCTGAAGTAAGAGACAGTTCAAAGGTAAAGTATATCTATTCATCATACATATACAAATGTACATGTAGTTGGAAACATTGCAGTTGTCAACAATTGCTTTGTTTTTACTTACAAAGCAGGATTTTGCAAAATATTGCCAGTATTTATTTGACACACCCCTACCTGCCAACTTTGCACGATCACCCTTGATGAAATGAAATACATTTGTAAATATTGTTGAAATTAGGGTGTAAGGTACATGTTATGATGTATTTATGATTGAAGTGCAATTTCCTAATTACTTATCAAGGGAGGTAATTATCAACAACCAAAGCAATGACCTTCAATTTGTCTAAACTAGACATGGACAGCAGTCATGTCAAAAATAAATTCTTAACTTTCTTTAAAAAATGACTGTGTTGACCCATAGCCTGCAGTCAGCAACAGATTCTACCCCTGTGACCAGTGCAGTTCAAGTGCAGGCAACACATCCATACTGCCTGATCATGGTTTGCACTGTTTGCTATTCAGTCTAAATAATGCTAAAATTTGGTTTTGTCAAGATTGAAAGATAGTCCAATTAAGATAATTAGGCATGGTAGGGGTTTAAGCTTGCATTTACCTGCAAATAAAAAGTTTGTAACATTACCATGGAAACTGTAAAGTAACTATTTTTCATTGATGCAAAATGTATCATGAGCCTTGTCTCTTTGTTAAACATAATGTTATCCTTTTATGTTCTTACAGCTGTATAAAATTAGATCAGAATGTTTTTTTGAATACTGATGCATTTCATAGTCATTATAGAATAAGATACATGTATATATCCTGTCATCATTTCAAAATACATATATTTAACATTTTAACATAAATACTGGCAATAAATAATCTGATTCTGAAGAACCATAAATTTTAACCATAAGTACAGTTTTGCATGCATATTAGATTTGAATTTATATAAAAAATGTTTTTATCTATCTGGCATACTTGTACCATAACTGAAATCCAAGGGCTTTTAAGTGAAAACTTATTAATTCAAATATATTAGAAAAAGGCATGTGACCAGGAAAGTCTGTGATGTAACACTAAACACATACAAAAACAAGAATCAGGAATACATGTCGCAAACAGACTCAGGATTTTAGTTTTTACAGTCAGGAATTTTAGCAATCAATTATATTCAACTTTGAATTTTTTATCTTGAACTCAGATTTCTATCTTGGTAAATGAAGCTTACATCACAGACTGCAAGAGGATCCAAATAGAACAACATGTGAGTGACAGTGCTATTAATTCAACAAACAAAACAGAACTTTGACAACATGCAGAAGACAGTGAGAACTGAGAAAAGAATGTCTGAAATAACTCTGTCATAAATGAATATATGCACTCTTGACATCTAACTTATTTTATTGTATCTGTTCAATTTCCAATAATATACATGTATTATAAATAACACTTTCATTATTATGAAAAACTTTCTTTTATTTCAACCTTAAGTAAAACAGGGGGAGAGGGAACAAAATAATGTCAAGAAAAATATTTGGTAAGTTGTAACTGTCACTTTTGTGAGAATTATTTCCCCTTTTTCATGTAACTGTCACTTTTGTGAGAATTATTTCCCCTTTTTCATGTTTATATAACACATTATTTTCAAAGTCCTTAAAAAATATGTTGTAATGTAAAATTGTTAACAGAATTGTGTTCAACATCTTCATTTTGCTCAAAATTATTGCGCCAGTACCTTTATTCTATATATTTGGATTTAATATTCTGTTTCTGGCATAAATACTTTGACAATAAATTCTTTGACACTGAACATTATACTTTGAAAACTGAGTGAAATGTATGCTGACAGGTGTTGGCGTAATGATTTGGATCATAAAGAAGTCATTTAACGTATTTTGTTTCATACTTTTTATATGTAACATATTTTTTAAAGACTTTAAAAATTATGTGTTATATAAAAATGAAAAAGGGGAAATAATGCATACAAAAGTGACAGATACCAAATATTTTTCATTCTGATTATGTTATACATTATGCTCAATAAACAAAGTTTAAAAGAAATCTCTTCATTATTTTTCTAGAAATATAATTTTTGATGTCATAAGCCCGATCAGGCATTTTCACCAGCCTGTTAAAGTGAGTTTAAACATAACCTTTTAAACAAGCTTACTTTTTGTTTAGTTTCCAGTTTTCCATTTATAAGTGTATACAAACTGATTATGAGAATTCTAGCAGTCTAATGTGCCGGCGAAGTTCATCTTGAAAATCATGCACAAAATGCAGGATGAGTAGAAATTTGAACCTACTCATCCTGGCTTTGAAAATATTTTTCGATCATTTACTGTAATTTACGGTAGTTGCTGGCCATACAGTACAGGCCTATATTGCTAGCTAAACATAAGTGACTCCAAATGGCTAGACACTTCCATAATTTACAGACGGTCTATAAATATATTAGACCTGATAAAAGTATGAAAAGCGACTGGACAGCATCATTTACTCCCATCTCAATGACATAGACACTGTAGGCCTTTGATAAAAAATAAGCTTATTAATTATTATTAGGCTTAGAAATTTATTTATTTCAATATTGCCTGCATAAAAATTACAGCAAAACTATTTCAGACATGGAAACTGAGAGAACAGAGGAGTGGATCATAAACCAAATCCAAAACCTCTTCTGGGTTTACTGTAATTCCAATTGTGTTGCTGTCAGATTTTGTATTTGTAGAAGTTTGTGTCTTTTCTTTCACTTTCTTCTTTTTGTCTTTTTTAACCGGCTCATCTGTTGTTTCAAGAATGTCACTAGCAATGACTTTTGAAGACTTTGACTTCTTCTTGCTTTTGTCTTTCTTAGCAAAAAAGTCGTCTAAACTAGCTTCTTCCATTTTAATGTTTATTTAACCTTTAAAACACTGTACTTATGCTCAAAAGAACCACAAAATGTTACTTTTGCGCAATAACATCTCAATCTCTCGTGTACCGGAAACGGAAGTATAACATTTGGTCTGGCTAAATTTCTTACGAAGAAGGCAGAGTTAACAGAAAGCGACACTCGCTGCACCCGAATGTGTTTTAAAAAAATGGTAACAACAACAGCTGAAGTAGAAGCATACATTTTAATACGTTACCACAGAAAAAATGATAACAAAATTTATTGTGATGACTTAATCAGTGGGTAGCCCATGGATACAAAGATTTTAGATTTACATTCAAATTGACATGTGGACTATCTTTCTGTGAACTGATTTTTTCCTTATTAAATTGTAAAAACGAGCTTCATCCGAAAGAATTAAAAGAACGGGAAATCAAGTTGAATACCTTCTCATTTGTCAAGGGTACTGTAGTTTATTTGTTACTTTTAAAGTTCATTTTGCCGTGCGCCGTTTGTCAATAAGACGCGAAAATTTTACTAAATGTCCGCGTTTTGTTTGTTTCGTCTGCTCCTGTATTTTATCGGATGGTCCCACAACGTAGGCTTATTAACAGAAACTAGTGTGCATCTCATGCAATTTTGTGAATGCGCGTACGTATTAAAAGAGGGATTTGAGAGGAAGTTTAGCTTTGGTTTTTAATAAATGTACCTGCATTACATTTGGAACCTAAAAATTCCTGCGAACTACCCTTCTTCGCACCCCTTTTTCATTAGTCGCCGGTAGAAACCGGCGACTATATTTGTAACAGTTTAATATTATACCTATGGTAGGATAAGCCTTTAAAATCTGAAAATAGAAGCATCTCAATTATTGAACAATTAAAGACCACAATTATATCAAGTAATCTCAAAAATCCAAACATACAATATTGTTGCTCAATGAAATAAAATATACAAATATTGACATCTTAAAAAATTACAATTTTCATAAAATGAATCAATAATGTATCCCTTAGGATCAGTCATTGAATTTAGGGATATTTTTACTTTTTACATACAGGTAAGTTGTTAATGGTTGGCAAAAGGTATGGATGCTGATAAGATGCATATCATTGTCATTTTGTATAAATAATTACAAAGTTATTTTTCATTAATCAGTTTCATATTTTATATCATAAGAAAAACCTGCATACTCATATTTTACACATTAAAAATAGATTTTCAAAACCTTTTCCTTTTTTCTTGGTAAAGGGTTAAACTTTCTGTCAAACTTTTGATAGTTTAGTACAAAATAATTTGATGCTTAAGAGGCACATTATTGAAATATAATGGTAATCGTTGATTTCGTTATATTCCGTCGGTTTCCGTCGCGCAGGTTTCCAATACGGTATGACGATAGGGGCCCAGAATCGTATTAGATACATAGAAAAAAATAATAAAGGCACTGAAAGGCAATTAAACGTTAATTGTATCGTATGTAACGATAGGAATACATGTATTGATTTCAACTAAATTTTTTTTTTCGATAGCGCATAATAATGATGGACAACACTTTTACAGTAGAATTGCATTGTTTCATGCAATAATAATTAAACAAATATATATTTAATAGACACTTTGCAAATATTCGATGATCGGTAATTATTAGATAATTTTGTCGGTAAATATCGGATTATTAACTAGTAATTAACCATATGGATTTCAATGTATGGTACAACAGTTTATGTATAAAGTAGAATTAACAGCATATCACTTGCCTTACAAGCCTCGGTGGCAAACAATACTCAACATATTGTTCCTCTTTTTTAATACTTGAACCCTTACACCGATATTTTCTTATGATCTTTATGATAATAAAATCATTTTTCTATCCGGCGACTTGATGCTTTAGCAACAAAATATATCTACTTGTTCTTCTTTTACGCGTTAAGATGTTAGTGTAGGTAAATTGAGCAATACTGATTTCCTAGCAGTTTCCGGCCCCTAGCAGTTTCTGGCCCCTTTTCATTCGTCCTGTACGGTCTATTTTCAGCAATAAAGCCCCTGTGTTACTTAATCAAATGAGAGAAACAGCACAAAAATAAAAACAGCAGTTCATATATTTTGAAGAGTTTTCGGCTGTTTAAAGCTGCCTTAAATTAGGGAACTTGGTACATAACGAAATCCATAGCTACTCCTGGGGAATTATAGATAAATGCCCAAGTGCAAAAATTAATGTCAAATTCAATGTGCAATGTTACTTTTTGTTACTTTACCTGCATAGAATACAAGGACAGTATTTTCATATTTAGATATAAATTTCAAATAATTTATAGCACGGCAATAATTAACATTGAAAATGTAAAGGTTTGGTAAATTACTATGAAATTTTGAATAAACGCAAGAAAAGTATACAACTGTCTTACTCTAGATCTACTTCTATTTGAAAATAAAGTTTAAAAGCAAAATCAAATTAAAGGAAATGTTGGCCAGGTACCTAGCTGTACTACTATTAAAGTAGATTGATTCTCAATTCATTTCTTAAAAATAGCGTAATTAAAAACCGGAAATTGTTAGGAAACCAGTATAATTATATTATAATAAGTCAAACTCAAAGAAATGAAATGTTGCAAACCGTTGTGGAGACATTATATTATAAACGCAATTAAAACATTTCCTCTATTTTTAGGAAGACCTGTCTGAATTTGTGCAATATTTACAGATTGTTCCTTCCCAATTTTAATCTCATTAATAGATCAGTAGTGATACTTCGTAAAATCGTAGGAATATTCTTGTAACAAGTTGGCTTAATACCAATCAAATTCATTGAAATGTAAATTTTCATTAAGAAAGATACAATGTATGATGTTAACAATTAGATAATTGTTTGTCTAAATATTGTTAATAACACCTGGGATAGGTATGTGTTGTTACATTATTTGTATGTGTTGTTACAATTTTAATTTGAACGTGTATATATATACATTGGTATTTGCTTTACTTTTACAATTTACAAGAAAGAAATATACATAAGCCTTTGACTTCCTTTTCAATCCTGTTTTATATAATGTTGTTGTATCCTGATGGTATATGTTTGCATTATTTGAAATAAATACTGTTTAAAGGCACATTATGCGTCAGAAATGTATAAAATTTACTTACTTATGAAAGGGCAAACATGAGTATTATAAAGTTTAAGAAATGGTTTAAGTGCATGTTAGATGCTTAATACCAAAAAAAAAATAATATAAGTCTGAATGTAAATTTATTTGTCATAAAGGTAGCGGAATGTAAACGAAGAAGTATTTTGATTAAAAAAAATACTGTATCACTATATAATTATGCTAATTTCAAAAAGCAACAGAAGCAAAATATGGATAAAGTAACTGGCCAGTGAGTACATGTATCTGTTTCGAAACTATAACAGGACACCAAAAATAAAAAAGCTTTTTAGAAATAAAAATTAAAGCATTTTGGGGCATAATGGGCCCTTTTAATAAACCAATACCTGGGATAGGTAATATTTATTTTTGTATGAGTTCAAATGGCGATTTCATTTGTGAATGTATGAACATGGTATCTTGATATTGGAAAAAAAAACAACAAAAAACAATGTAAATGATCAATAACTTTGTGTTTTGTCTCAAATCATATTAGTTACCTCTCGAAAGAGCTGTTCGCAACAGCCCTCTTGAAGATAATGTCTACAATGTACCACATATATATAAACAATATATATATCTTATATTTAGCTCCATAAATGTACAGACAAAAATAGAAAGGATTGACACAGAGGAAGAAAATGAGTGAATTGGTGGTAATGCTTGACAAAAATTAGCTGTTCTTATTGTAACTATTTCATTGTGCCTCTATAGAACTTATGGACAGTAACATTTTGGGTGTTTTTTGAGGTTTTTTTATTGATTGTTTTTTATATAAAAATAAAGGTAATCATCTTAAAACTTCTTGTTTTCTGTTGTTTTTGTTAAATTTCATTTTCTTTCTTTGTAAGTGTTTATATTTTAAATAAATAATAGAAAATGGGGCGACTTTACCAAAAATCAAAATGGTTTTGGGCCGGATGATGTTAGCCTGGGGAATTTTCTTTCTATTTGTTCTATAGTAAATCAGTCACATTTGAGGCTTAATTCTGGATTCCACTGTTCTTGATGAATTATATACTGTCTTCAACTTTAAACATCAACACTATTCAAGTCAAATGAGGCCCAAAATATAATAGGTTAGCCATCTACTTTTTTCAGAAATCTTCATTCAGTTGTAACACAGTTTAAATTCACCACTTTAAAAACTCCTGACTGATGCTGGTGGGTGGTACATCTTTTATCCTTCCGCCAACAAATGAGTTTCCGGAGAATACACAAAAACAACTTTTAAACTCATCATATAACACACAAAAACTACACAAATGCAATAAATACACTTTAATTATGACTTAAATTGGGCCACTTCAAAATTTTAAAGAACTACTTTCTAGACTTCAACGGGTTCGGTCTAATTCTGTACCGGTTGACTAATTTGAGACCGGTTCCGGGAGAATAGTCTGTCATTCGTACGGAACGGTACGGTAAAATTCAACAAGGGGCACAACTCTGATTAAGAAAATTTATCCAAAATGGCCGACGATAACTCACCCACATATTCCCCTGACCATTTTCCAAGTTCTCCAGAAGAGGACTCTGTAGAGGTTGCCAAAAAGATGGGGAAAGTAATGAATTTTAATTGCTTCCTCAAAGATCGTAACGGCTTGTTGTGATTCAGTGCAGATAAGACAGAAGTTTGCACTAATCTATGTGAAAATAATTTTGTCCCTGTCCCCCACATAGGTCCTCCTCCTAGTCCAATATATTAGACGTTACAGGCTTGTTGTAGTTTTTGTCGGTCAAGCCTGACGTCTAATAGTTATTGCTCAAAAACGCATAGCATCATAAAAAATTCCAAAAATGTCTAGTGTCCTGCCTTGCAAGCTTTATTCAAAAGATTATCATATTTTCTTTCAATTTCATGCTCAATCATACACAAAAACTGTCAAACGATGTACTTATCAATTTAAAATAAAATATAAACATCAATCTGTTTTTGTCTATCAGCCATACTGGTTAAACAAGGTGCTTTACAGATTGATTTCAAATTTTTGAACGGAAAAATATATTCAAACACACTGACGGTGCATGGGCAATTATTTCGTTCAAAAAATATTCCGTTAGATTGTTCTGACTCAGTTAAACGCTTGCATTTGAATTAGCCAATCAGATTTCGCGCACTTTACGGCCGCCATTTGTTTATCGGCTGTAAAAGGAATTGAAATACATGAGAGGATTTAATCATGATTTTTCGGATGTGACAGGTTAATTATTTTGACAAAAGGTATTTATTTTTTAGTTTTGTTCATAAATAGGTAAAAAAATATGTAAATACACGCTGTCTTCATTGTTTTTCGTTCCGCCCGATTTTCTGGCGGAACATGCTATGGGTTTTTGAGCAATTTCGATATGACGTTGCTTTGCCCAGAAGCAAAAATATCTCAAAGCGACGTCATATTTATAGGACTAGTCCTCCTCCCTGTCCTCGCCTGTAGTGAGGTACGATTCGATAATTTATTAGACTTTTGCTCGTTGCAAACCGTACAAAATATAATTTTAAAGAGTCATCATGTACCCTCTGAAAGTAAATATTTCATTTCAAGATTCAAATCAAAATTTATTTTTGGTTTATATAATTTTCTAGACTTCCTGAAAAATGTCTACGTCCCTGTGAGGGGGTTGACATTAATATGCAATATAGATGAATCTGTAGAAAAACGTCAGCACAGCAGACATAACTAACATATTTTGCACAGATGATTTTTAAGCTAAAATCGGTCCGACTGCCTGACAGTTTTTAGGGACGAGGGCAGTTAATGTTCATTATTATATTGACGAATTCCTCAGTTGATGCTAGCGAGATTACTCTTCTTGAACATTGGGTTATGTAAAAATTCAGTGTCTATTCTAGGAATTGAAAAATAGGGGTGATTTTCCCCCCTCTATTTCAAAAAAGGGGGCGATTTTCAAAATCAAAGGGTGCCAATATAAACTGCCAATGTTAAAAAGTCTGCATTAAGTTTACACTGAGGCGTTCAACCGATGACATAATTAAAACAATAATATTTATTTAAGGCAGCAGAAGTTGTCCCCCCTTAATTTTTAAACGAAAACAAATTATTACAGAACTGCCGCGATTGATTATAAAGGGATTGGCAATACAAATAATCGAACTATCTTTCACGTCTAGATCGTAGCCAAGCTAGGAATTGCCTCATTTTTCTTGATTATTTACTACACTAAAATGGCGCCCAACTGTCAGACCTAGCACACTAGTTCCGGTCGATACGGAACATTCCGTTAATTTCCGTCAACTCACGTAACCAGTACCATACGGTACTAAATTATTATAATCAGCTTACAGTTACCTCCCTTCAGTTTTCGGTGTAAATGTAAACAAAACAACCAAATATAATGCGGGATGGAAGTTTTACGGTTTTGTTAACTTTTTTTATAGATGCGCGATTTTCACGCACATGATTTTCAATTGTGCGCGATCTGTTAAATACTAGCGTGAATCGCGCAATCGCGCGTCCTAGAATAGACACTGAAAATTATTTTCATAGGCCAACATCATTAATTTAGTCGAAAGCACACAGTAAACATCATGGCGTGCTTAAAGTATTAAAAAGGCGGAGTGCCTGGAATAAAAGAAAGTTAACGTGGTCAGAAAGAAGTGATAAGGAACAAAAAAAAGGGGGTGTGAAAAACCAGTTTAATTTAACGAAAAATGGAAGAAAGGGCAAGAATGGCTCAGTGCTATAAATTTAAATTTAATATGCAAATATCTGTCATAATATTATTTTGTTGTTTTGTTATAAATTAAGACATATTCAACACAGACCTTTGAGGCTGAGCTTTGTGCTGTTTGTTTAGCTTCTTGAATCAACAAAGCATCTTTTGTTGTTTTTTTAGACTTAATTAGCAGTCTACCATTTGCTAACTCTTAAGTGGTCAGGATTTTTGTTTTGGTGTCTGTCAATTGCACTATGTTGTAAATTTGTGCTACCACCATTTGCATAAGGGTTGTTCTTTTTTGTATCGCGGCACCATGTACAAAACAATCTATATTGTCCATCTACAACTTTCATTTCCAACCATTTGAATTCTTCTAACCAATTTTCTCTGAACTTTCTTTTTGTTTTAGACTTTGGTGTTTCTGGATTATTGTCATTTTTGGCACGCTTAGTTGGTGTGACACTCAAACTCTCAACATCACTTTCACGAGTACGTTTTGTACCAGCAAATCCTAAGTCAAACAGGCTTTTTTGAGCCATGATAAAATGCTTATTAAGAGCACATACACTAAAAATTTTAATGTAATATAGGGTTCGAACACGGCGACGTTAACACTAACGGTACATCAATTCAAATAAGCTGAGAATATGTAAGTTTATAAATACAGTTGCCTAAAATTTTGAGCAAAAACATTATTATGTTTTTAATTTTAATTTACTAAGGTGTTGAAAATGAACAATACCGGTAGACTAAATTAGCCACCTGCAAATATACTTCAAAACGTTCATTCCTACTTACCGCTGCAATTACAATTACCGCAGTCCAATCTTCATACGAAGTGTGACAAACCCCCACCCATTGTAAAAGCGTGTACAATATTGTTATTGTTTACCAATTAATGAAAATTATTATGCACACATGATATGCCGCGTATATTGATTAGCGACAACTTTCAATATCAATTCTCGCTATCAGACGCTAACCACGTGCGTATCAGTCAGTGATTGGCTTAAACCGCTTTAATGCGGATAATTCGTCACGCCTACTGTACCTGTAGGCGGGGCTAATAGCTCTGTCTAGCGCGGTGACGCAAATTGATTGACAAACAGTAAAGTTTCCATGCATCCATCGGAAATTTCCACGGGTCAAAAATGACACGCGAGCTGATTTTATGACGGGACAAATGAGTGCATTTGAGAATTTTCACGGGTCAAGACCCGTTTTATGACAATGTAAAAAACGAAATGTACTGTTCCTCCTGTATACTTGAGAAAGTTATATATGTAGTGAAAGCCAGGCCTGCCTGACTTTCACAAACGCTCTCAAACTGAGATAAATCTCAACTTAAGATTGTCTCAATATTGACTGAGATTCTTACTCACCTGAGAAAAATCTCAAGTTGGCTTTCTCTAAACTTTTTCTCAACATCATAAAGTTTTTCCTCCTTAAACAGTTAAATAGTAAAAAATAAGTAATAGAAATATCGCATTGTACTTCATTAGGTGTCACTACCCAGAGCTAAATCTGTACTGGAATTTTTCTTATTTTTTTTTGAAAAGGTCAATATTTTTTATTTAGTGATATGCTTTTATTTAGAAAGATATTATTCAACTCACCTTGACAACATAATGCTACTTTATCATACAAATCCTGAATTTTCATTTTTTGCAGACAAACATGTTACAGTGGATGGAGATAAGAGTGTCAGAACCTGAGAAAAGAACAACAACAGCCATGAAGATGACAGACACATATATGGTGTATCTAGTTGAGACAAGGTAGCTTCATTTTTTATAATAAAGAATCTGGCTAGTAATGTTGCATACATTTTCGCTGACCTCTGAAAATATACATAGAAGTGGCAGAGTGGTTATGGCCATTGACTTCAAACCACTTGCCTCTCACTGTTGTGGGTTCAAATACCTACAGGACTTTGTATTCTTTCATGTGATGAAGCTATCCTGCTAGCTTACACAATGTCGGTAGTTCAACTCAGGTGCCTGTTCTTGCTTGAAAGTGTAAAATCGCCATATGACCTATACCGACTGTGTTGGTGCGATGTGAAATCCAACACAACAACAAAAACAAGCTGGTTATGAAGTGATTAAAAAATTTTCTGTTCCTTATAGACGCAATTAGGAAGTATTTTCACAAGACAGAGAGAAAAAATTTAAAATTAATTGATGTTCTAAAATGTAATGAAATGGTGAATTGATGTATAATTAAATATTGAATATTGTTGATATCGTGATATTCATGGCATGATATTGAATGACTGTCATACTTTAAGTTCTAGCAGCACAGATTACAATACATGTATATAGGAGTAAATGTATGACTTAAAAAAAGTTGAAAGATTGAAGCAACTGTAAGTATTTGAGTTGTTTAATCAGTTCCTTGTTTCAATATTCAGGATTATGGACAACAGTGTTAAATGTAAAGGTGATGGTACAACTTCTTTATGGAGACGATATAGTGAATTTGAAATACTCAGAAATTACCTTGATATAATGCACCCAGCATTAGTTATTCCACCATTACCAGAGAAAAAAGTAAGTGCCATTTGAGTTTTATCATTCTTCTGGTAACTTTCATGGTGATTACAAGATCTAAATGGTAATGCAAGGTTTTTAGCCATGGGAAATTCTATAGAAGATGGAAATTCATGACATTCACAGTTATGTGTTTGGTCTTTATTATCCCCCGCCGAAAATTTTCGGCGGAGGATATAGAAATAGTCTCCGTCCGTCCGACCTTCCGTTCGTCCATCCGTCCGTCCGTCCGACATTTTTGTCCGGAGCATATCTCTAAAAGTATTAAAGTTATCAACTTGAAACTTCATAGGTGGATAGACCTCATTGAGGAGGAGTGCAGTGCACAAGAATGATAACTCTACCTTGCATGATTTTTGAGTTATTGCCCTTTGTTATTTTTCAAAATTGATTTTTGTCCAGAGCATAACTCCAAAAGCCTATGAGATATTAACATGAAACTTCATAGGTGCATAGATTTCACTCAGGAGGTGTGCAGTGCACAAGAATGATAACTCTACCTTTCTTAATTTTTAAGTTATTGCCCTTTGTTATTTTTCATACCTAATTTTTCACCTGAGTGGAGCATAACTCAAAAAGTGTTTGAGATATCAACATGAAATGTCATAGGTGGATAGATCTTATTGAGGAGGAATGTTGTGCGCAAGAATGATAACTCATCCCTTTACAATTTTTGAGTTATTGCCCTTTGTTTTTTTTCATGCTATTTTGTCCAGAGCTTATCTCAAAAAGTATTTGAGATATCAAAATGAAACTTCATAGGTGCATAGATCTCACTCAGGAAGTGTGCACTGCACAAGAATGATAACTCTACCTTTTATAATTTTTGAGTTATTGCCCTTTGTTCTTTTTCATACTTAATTTTTCAATTCAATTTTTTTCTCAAAAAGTATTTGAGGTATCAACTTGAAACTTCATAGGTGGGTAGGGATGCAGCACACAAGAATGATAACCTACCCTGCATTATTTTTCAGTAATTGCCCTTTGTTATTTTCAGCCATCAGTATTCACATAGGTTTCAAATCTGTAATAACTATAGCCATCAGTTTTCATTACCAAAAGACCTCTTAAAATGGAATTATTCCGCTCTACTACATAAACATTCTTCCAATGAGCAAACACATTCGGCGGGGGATGGCCATGTTGACATGGCTCTTGTTCTAATCCTTATTATGCTTAATTGTATAAGGAACTTGTTTTCCTTTGACATTAGATCAGACTATGGTAAATGTGAGGTATTTAAGCCAACAAGATAGAAATACTGTGATCTGTCCAGCTTTAAATTTGGAACTGTCCACTGAAAGTTTAAAGGATTTCAATATTGAATACAAAACATTGTCCTAGCAAAAGTATTAAGGATGGTCAGACAACAGAGAACAGAAGTGCAGACTGACCTTGCTATCTACTAGTGGTGAAGGCTGATAACTTCTGGTTCCTGTAGTCTGCAGGGTATGGGTTAAATCAGTCAGAATGCCAAGTACAATGTACTTTATTCTATAACAGTTGACAATATTGATAGAGTTGCAGTTACTGTAGATTGGAAAACATTTCGAATTTTAGTTTCATTGAAATGCTATTTATTTATAGGCTACATACACATGGCAGAATATGGCTACAGACAAATTTGAACCAGAATTTATTGAGCGTAGAAGAGCAGCGCTTGAAGTAAGCACATTATTTATTCCTTAAAAACAATTGTGTATGTTGTTTATATGAGTGAGACAACATTAATGATTACACCAGTCAGTAGTTGCCAAGTGTTGCAGTATCTGCCTTGTATACAAGAGGTTGTAGGTTTGTCTTATCTGCCATATTTACAATAAATTAATATTGATGTTATTAGTTATGTATGATTAATTATGTCATAAAGTTTTATTTCAAGTGTGTGTTCAAGAGAGAAATATATTGTTTTATTACTTTGGAAATATTGACATGATATACATGTATGAAGAATAATATATAAAAAAATAGAATAATTTAAAAATTGTCAAATATTACTGTCTATCAGACTTGGACTGTTTCTAACTTTCAGTTGAAGAAATATGTTTAGAATAAGTGTTATGCCCATAACTTTTGGTTATTTACTCTTATGATAAGAGTAAATAGCAAAAAAAAGCATGAAAGGACTCCAACAACATTCACCTCTAATGATAGACTAATTTTTTTTTCATGACTGTAAAATTTCATGTTTGGTAATTTAAACAGCAATATTCTGTTTGTAAAGGAAACTGTCTTCAGTAACCTTGTAAAGACAAAATAAAGGAAACTGTCTTCAGTAACCTTGTAAAGACAAAATAAAGGAAACTGTCTTCAGTAACCTTGTAAAGACAAAATAAAGGAAACTGTCTTCAGTAACCTTTTAAAGACAAAATAAAGGAAACTGTCTTCAGTAACCTTGTAAAGACAAATTAATATGTTAAATAAATTTTATAATCAAGAGTATTTTATATTTATTTTGACTGTGCAGTTAGTCTGTCACTTTCAACTGTATTGTGAATTAAGCGTAATAATAATGCAATAATAACAATTTTCCAGATATATTTGTTGAGATGTGCAGCCCACCCCATTCTGTGTTTGGATAAAATCTTTATCGGTTTTCTTCAAAAGGTATGAATAATTATAATCTGCCTGTCAGCTGATTGTTATATAACTTCTGAAAATTTGTTTCTACATTCTTATCTTTTACTCTAAAGTAATCATGTACCCTGGCACTCAAATTACACAAGCCTCTAAGAGTTGTTATTGAATTTTCCAATTTTGCTTGATTAACTTTTTTTGGTCAGGTAAATGAGACATCTATTAAAAATTATATGTTTTTTTGCACATTGATTAATATTTTACATAGTCACATATCTATTTTTGCTCAATAAATAACTTTTAAACAGGCATTGAAATGAGATTTTCAGCAGAAGAATGTACAATCAATTTTATTATTCATTTTACAGGATGAAGGCTGGAAAGATTCTGTATATGCAACAGAGTTTCAGAGTAAGGTAAGATTTGGTGTACCCGATATCTAGTGACAGATATCAGCAACTACATGACTGTATGAACTATGATAGCTTATATGTTCAAATCTAGCTATTTTATAAATTATTTTACTCTAAAAGTGTATAAAGCTATATATTTGCTGTCTGTGAATTGTAAAATTATTGTTGTTTATATTGTGATTTAAATGATAATTAAAGAATAACTAGAATGAAAGAAATTTGTATTTTTTATTGAAAGCGAATAGAGCATGGGTGAAATCATTGCCAACGGGCAACCCTACCAAAAATAGCAGCAGAATATTTTGTTCCGGAATATTTTATTCTGTTTACGTTCACTTAATATGTATATTGAACTGCACAGACATTCTTTGTTACATATATTTCAACAATGACCAAAAGGTTATGAAAACAATAATTTTACTGTTGTTAAATATTCATAAGATATGTCCACAGATTTAGCTTTATACACTTTAACTACCTGTTGTGAAAGAAAAAGTTTTTTGGTTAAAGAATACATGTATCTCTAAATGTGCTTGTTTTTGTTTGACTATTTGAAACATCGGCTTAACATTTTACATGTGGAAATCAACTTTGGCAAGCACAATATTATCTTGTAATATGCTGTTAAGCTTTCTAACAAGTAATTGCTTTATTTTTTTCTTAATTTAAGGCACATGAAGCCTCCGAAATGAATGAATTTTTCTTTCCCTAAAAAGGGCAAACATATGTTTTAAAAATTAATGTTGTAATAATTGATTTAAAACATGCAAATTGCTTATCACTAGAAGGCAAAAGCCCTGAATGTGAAATAATTTGTAATCAAAAAGGAGCAAAATTTATGACTGCCATACAAAAATCTGGACTTAATTATTATACGTATTGCCAAAAAGAAAGAGAAGCAAAAGGTGGCTCAACTAAATAGCAAATGAGTAAGGTTTGGGCATCAAAAGTAAAAAGCTTTTGAAAAATAAAAAACATAATTGAGGCTTACCCTGTGATGGGTGTTTACGAATTGAGTCAATAATAGTAATTGATACATTCTATATTTAATTAAAAGAATAAGGGGTAAATTCTGTTACAACATGTTAGATGGTACTTGGCTATTTTGCTTATTCTACTGTTTCTTGCTTATTTTCATTCTCCATTCTTAGGCTGTGGTATGTATGCATATTTTTATTGATCCCTCTGTTTGTTTCCAGGCAGAATCTAGATTGAAAGCTATCAGCGCATCATTTCGTCTCAAGAAACCAGATAAGTATGTATTGACAAAATTCCTTTTCTAATGCTTATTAACTGCAAAGAGTTTGTTAGCTGATATTCTAACCTTTTCAGCTTCAACCTGCTGAAACAAGTGATGAGGCTTTGCCATCAGCATAAGGCCAGGCCAGCCTGCACAATTGTGCAATCTGACTACAGTCTATACTGTTGGCATTTCTTTTTTTTTAAGCTCACCTGAGCTAGCTCAGGGTGAGCTTTTAGGATCGTTGAAGGCTTTTCGTCCGTCCACACATGTTCGTTAACACTCTAGCGGTCACCTTTTTGCCTCAATCATCATCAAACTTTGTCAGGATGCTTATCTAGTTGATAGCTCGGATGAGTCTGAACATGGGTCATCTCGGATTAAAAACAAGGTCACAGGAGCTAAAAATAGGAAACCTTGTTAACACTCTAGCGGTCACATTTTTGCCTCAATCATCATTAATCTTGGTCAGGATACTTGTCTAAGTGATACCTCGGATGAGTTCGAACATTGGTCATCTCCGATGAAAAACTAGGTCACCAGAGCTAAAAATAGAAAAACCTTGTTAACACTCTTGTGGACACATTTTTGCCTCAATCATCATCAAACTTGGTCAGGATGCTTATCTAGTTGATAGCTCATATGAGTTTGAACATGGGTCATCTTGGATGAAAAACTAGGTCACCAGAGCTAAAAATAGAAAAACCTTGTTAACACTCTAGTGGTCACATTTTTACCTCAATCATTATCAAACTAGGTCAGGATGCTTGTCTAGGTGATAGCTTGGATGAGTTTGAACATGGGTCATCTCGGATTAAAAACTAGGTCACAGGAGCTTAAAATAGAAAAACCTTGTTAACACTTTAGCAGTCACATTTTTGCCTCAATCATCATAAAACTTTGTCAGGATGCTTGTCTAGGTGATAGCTCGGATGAGTTCGAACATGGGTCATCTTGGATTAAAAACTAGGTCACCAGAGCTAAAAATAGAAAAACTTTGTTTGCACTATAGCGGTCACATTTTTGCCTCAATCATCATAAAACTTTGTTAGGATGCTTGTCTAGGTGATAGCTCAGATGAGTTCGAACATGGGTCATCTGGGATGAAAAACTAGGTCACAGGAGCTAAAAATAGAAAAATCTTGTTAACACTCTAGTGGCTACTGTTTTGATCCAAATATCCTGTAAATTGGTCTGAAAGTTTGTTTTGATGATTTCTAGGTCAAGTTCGAATATGGGTCACCTGGGTAAAAACTAGGTCACACTGCTCAAATATGGATAATTCTTGTTAACACTCTAGTGTTCACATATTTGACTCATCTGTCATGAAACTTGGTCAGAATGCTTGTTCGGATGAGTTTGATGGGTCAGGTGAGTGATCTAGGACCATCATGGCATTCTTGTTTCATTTTGATATCAAAATCTCATAAAGTTTGAATGGACTGGTCCAAATTTTACTTGTTTACAGGAAATTACATAAATTACAGGTATTTCAATATCAAAATGTTATGATAATTACGTTGATTTTCTTTTACTGAAAAGCAGGATGGCATGGCTGTATTATCAGAGGGACAGAGTTAATAATCTCAACTCAAGATTTGTTTTAGGTAAACTTGTGCAGGCCTCCATAGTTTTTGATAACCATGGCATTTATATTTTTACTTTTTAAACTGTGTAACCTTAACTGGCTAGAGTGTTAAATTGATACATTGACTTTGTTGTTGGTTCACACATTCATTATTAATAATGTCACTAATTTCAGACGATTTGAAGAAGTAAAGAATTACAGTGGAGAACTACAGAGTAACATAGCCAATCTTCTTAAAGTTCGAGCTGTAAGTCTACTTTTACTCAGTACATTTTTATGCCCCCTTTTGAAAAAAAGGGGGTATATTGCTTTGCACTTGTCGGTCCGTCGGTCCGTCGGTCCGTAGACCAAATGGTTTCCGAGTGATAACTAAAGAACCCTTAGGCCTAGGAACTTCAAACTTGGTATGGTGATTGGTCATGACAAGTAGATGACCCCTATTGATTTTGGGGTCAAGGGGTCAAAGGTCAAGGTCACATTGACCTTGTAAGCAAAAACGGTTTCCGATCAATAACTAAAGAACCTTAAGGCCTAGGAACTTCAAACTTGGTATGGTGATTTGTCATGATCAGTAGATGACCCCTATTGATTTTGGGGTCAAGGGGTCAAAGGTCAAGGTCACATTGACCTTGTAAGCAAAAACGGTGTCCGATCAATAACTAAAGAACCTTAAGGCCTAGGAACTTCAAACTTGGTATGGTGATTTGTCATGATCAGTAGATGACCCCTATTGATTTTGGGGTCAAGGGGTCAAAGGTCAAGGTCACATTGACCTTGTAAGCAAAAACGGTTTCCGATCAATAACTAAAGAACCTTAAGGCCTAGGAACTTCAAACTTGGTATGGTGATTTGTCATGATCAGTAGATGACCCCTATTGATTTTGGGGTCAAAGGTCAAGGTCACATTGACCTTGTAAGCAAAAACGGTTTCCGATCAATAAGTAAAGAACCTTAAGGCCTAGGAACTTCAAACTTGGTATGGTGATTGGTCATGATCAGTAGATGACCCCTAACGATTTTGGGGTCAAGGGGTCAAAGGTCAAGGTCACATTGACCTCTTGGGTAAAAACGGTTTCCGATCAATAACAAAAGAACCCTTAGGCCTAGGAACTTCAAACTTGGTATGGTGATTGGTTATGACCAGCAGATGACCCCTATTGATTTTGGGGTTAAGTGGTCAAAGGTCAAGGTCACATTGACCTTGTAGGTTAAAAACGGTTTCCGATCAATAACGAAAGAACCCTTAGGCCTAGGGACTTCAAACTTGATATGGTGATTGGTCATGATCAGTAGATGACCCTATTGATTTTGGAGTTAAGGGGTCAAAGGTCAAGGTCACATTGACCTTGTAGGTAAAAACGGTTTCCGATCAATAACGAAAGAACCCTTAGGCCTAGGGACTACAAACTTGATATGGTGATTGGTCATGATCAGTAGATGACCCCTATTGATTTTGGGGTCAAGGGGTCAAAGGTCAAGGTCACATTGACCTCTTAGGTAAAAACAGTTTCGGATCAATAACTAAAGAACCCTTAGGCCTAGGAACTTCAAACTTGGTATGGTGATTGGTCATGATCAGTAGATGACCCCTATTGATTTTGGGGTCAAGGGGTCAAAGGTCAAGGTCACATTGACCTCTTAGGTAAAAGCAGTTTCCGATCAATAACTAAAGAACCCTTAGGCCTAGGAACTTCAAACTTGGTATGGTGATTGGTCATGACCAGCAGATGACCCCTACTGATTTTGGGGTTAAGGGGTCAAAGGGAAAGGTCACATTGACCTTGTAGGTAAAAATGCTTTCCGATCAATAACTTAAGAACCCTTAGGCCTAGGAACTTCAACTTGGTATGGTGATTGGTCATGACCAGCAGATGACCTATTGTTTTTAGGGTCAAGGGGTCAAAGGTCATGTAACATTGACCTTGTAGGTAAAAACGGTTTCCGATCAATTAACTAAAAACGCTTAGGCCTAGGAACTTCAAACTTTGTATGATGATTGGTGGTGACCAGCAGATGACCCCTATTGAGTTTTGGGTCAAGGGGTCAAAGGTCAAGGTCATGACCAGTAGATACTTGATAACCTTTATTAATTGTTTGATCACTGGGTCAAAAGTCATGCATAATTACCTTATCACATGAATAATTGGCTGCTGATAGGGGGCATACATGTTTTACAAACATATCTTGTTAATCTAAATTTGTAGTGGTTCTACACTGTATATTCTCTAGCATTAAACCAAAGCTACATAGTTGTATAAAACTATATTGTATACCAGCATTCATGACATGAAACATGTAGACTTATTGTGGTCTCTGAAAAAGGGTCGGTTTAAGATGTTCTAAATTTGAAACATGTCTTTGATTTTCCCCAAGTGTCTTGAGATGTCATGTATGCAATATTAAAATTGGATTTTTTCCACCTCATAATAAAATGCTTATATCAACAAATTGCTTCAACACAGAGGTTGTAACATATAGAAATATAGTGTAAAATAATAAACTTAAGAGTCTAATCATGGTTAGTCAAGAGTATATCAAGAATAGATTTAAAAAAATTGATTGTGTATTATAGAGGATGGCTGATCATCAGTATGGTATACATAAACTGCATGCAAACTATCACCGAGTGTTCAACGAATGGAGTGGTATAGAGAAAGATATGTCAGAACCTCTACAGAGTGCTGGGCATTATATGAATGTGTAAGTATTGCAGGGAAGTAAATGAATATTCAAGTATTGCAGGGCTTTGTATGAATGTGCAAGTATTGAAGGGCATAATATGAATTTATAAGTATTGGAAGGAAAAATATGAGTGTTAAAGTATTGCAGGGCATTATATGAATTTACAAGTATTGCAGGGCATTATATGAATTTATAAGTTTTGGAAGGAAATATATGAGTATGAAAGTATTGCAGGGCATTATATGAATTTACAAGTATAGCAAGGAATTATATGAATGTGAAAGTATTCTGGGGCATTATAGGAATGTGTAAATATTGTAGGAAATGATATGACTGTGTACAGTAAGTATTTCAGGGTATTAATGAAATATGTAAGTTTTGCAGGGATTTATATTAATTTGCAAGTATTTCAGGGCATTATATGACTGTGCAAGTACATCTTTATGAAAATTGCTTTATTTTCCCCATATCAACAAGGCCATGGTTCTAGTTTCCTCAAAGCTGCCTGAGTTAGATTTGAGCTATTAATTATGGTTAAGATTCTTACAGGGATTCACAGTCTATTGATGCTATATTGGAGGAGGAAGAACAATATGCAGATCAGTTGAAGGAGTATATGGCATTTGGTGAATCTCTCAGGTAAGTTGACTTTATTCTTTGATCATCTCCTTTGGTAGCATTATTTGTTTGTTATGCTTGTGTTATAATTAGAATTAATACACTTGTTACTATAATTTATATTTAACAAATAATACATGGCCTTGAGGGCAATATGCAAGTTTACGGATTGATTGGTCAGACTGAGGAAGGTATATGGCCCGAAGCGCAGCTGAGGGACATATACCTTCTGAGGTCTGACCAACCAGTCCGTAAACTTGCATTTTGCCCGAAAGGCCATGTTTTATTTGTTATATTATACCGAATCTAAATCCTTTCATCCCTTTTGTTGCTGACATTTTTACTATAATTTACTTTCAAATAATAATTTATTTGTTCAGTGTGTGAAATATCTCAAACCCTAGTCGGAATAATTATTATTATTTTCAAGTGATACAGCAAAAAATCATGCTCTTCTTTTGTTATTCAATTTTTGTTAATCAAATTAAACAGGCAAAAAAACCTGATCTTTAAGATTTAATATGACGTCATCCAGTCCATATAAGAATGATGGACCGTTAATACACTTGTTACTATATACAGTAACATAATTCCCCTGATTTCAACTGGTTATGAGTGTCACATGACTGATAAGGAGTTTGCGGCCTGGGACATACTGCAGATTAAATTGATATTATCAGGCTTAGTATTATAGCCTTACCTTGCTAAATTTCTTAATTGGACTTGTCCATCTCTTAGTCTCTAACAAAAACATGTATTAGTTTTTCCCATGAAAGGAAGAAACTACAAATAAGAGGTACACATCTATGCATGTTAAAATGTTAAAAGACCTTTCGTTATTTTCTGAACTGGGAATCTACCCTGCTTTACAACAGTCCATACCTTTTATATTGGAGAATTTTAGCATGGTGACCCTTTGGAAAGTAAAAGAATTAACCAGAACCTATTTAAACACGTGAATGGTTCTGTTAATAAAAAAAAAAGCCATGCAATTTAAGCCTAAAAGTTGAGTTTTGAGAATTTTCACAGTTTGGGGAATTGTCTTTAAATTGGGGATTTTATGCGAAATTTATTATTGAGATCCATAATAAAGCTGTTTATTTCTATTAATGAACAGGTCAGTATGTAGGAAGTATGAATGTATGCAGTATGACCATGAAAGAGCCGAGGATAGTCTTGCTAGTAAATCCAGTCAAAAAGAAATGCTGGTATGTCAAGTGTTCATATTTGAGCCGTGTCACGACAAAACCAACATAATGGGTTTGCGACCAGCATGGATCCAGACCAGCCTGCGCATCCGCGCAGTCTGATCAGGATCCATGCTGTTCGCTATCAGTTTCTCTATTTGTAATTGTGTTTGTCAGCGAACATAATGGATCCTGATCAGACTGCGCAGGCTGGTCTGGATCCATGCTGGTCGCAAACCCATTATGTTGGTTTTGTCATGACACGGCTCATTTGTTTTCTAGAGATTGTGCATGCCAGTATATGCATTATTTCTGTGACAAGCATGCATTAAACAAAAAAAAATTAAACCAAAGACATTTTGTATGAATCCCACTCATGACAGAATTAAATGTCAAGGCACCAACTCTTTCTTAACCACCAAGCACAATCCCCTGCTTAAGGTTATGTTTAATAATCAAGGGGGGATATAATTATGGTTAATGTTCTGAACAAATGCTATAAAAGTAAGTGCCATATTTGTTTTTCAAAGAATTCTGCTTTTAGTCATTTATAATTCCTAAACACCAAAAATTCATCTTTCGAAACAATCTGTGCCAAGTTAATATCCTTATAATTTCCTTTGATATGCATTACATAATTTATATGTGAACTTGTTTTAGAACAATAAGTATTTTTGTTTTTCACATACTGATTATTAACATCAGGTTACATTTTAAGTTTTTAGAACAAAAGCGTCAAGAGGAGACATAAATGAGCCGTGTCATGACAAAACCAACATAATGGGTTTGCGACTAGCATGGATCCAGACCAGCCTGCGCATTCGCGCAGTCTGATCAGGATCCATGCTGTTTGCTTACAACTCTATAACAAGTAGAGAAACTGATAGCGAACAGCATGGATCCTGATCAGACTGCGCGGATGCTCAGGCTGGTCTGGATCCATGCTGGTCGCAAACCCATTATGTTGGTTTTGTCATGACACGGCTCAAATAATGTTAAAATTTGTTTTGATAATTTGATTATTGTTCTATGTAAGGCTCAGGGGAAGACTGCAGGAGGATTTAGCCTAAGTGGAATGAAGAAAGCTCTGTTTGGTAACGACACACAGGAGCAACGGGAACTAAAGTTGAAACATCTAGATGAGCAAATCAAACTTACAGAACAAGAACTGGCACAAATTAATGAAGAAACACAGTAAGTTGTTTATCTTGTCACGAAATAATTTTCTATTTTATCTATTCTACTGTCGTTGTTTTTTTATCACTTTTGGGGGAAGGGGGTCGGTGCCCTTTGGAGGGGGGGGGGGAATGCAAGAGGAGGGGGAATTTTATTTGTTTATTTATTTTGTTTATATTGTTTTCTTTCCGGTAGAAAAAGGGAGCAGCTGTTGCAACACAAAGTTTAAAATATGTTGCTTTCTCTTAATATATGGAGCTAAAATATCAACGTGTCGCATGTTAAACTTGTTGGGATGCCAGGAGTAGCTCCCCTTACCTACCCGTGAACGATTTGTAAACAACCTTGCTTAACAGTAAGTCTTACAGGCATAAAATAAAACAAATTTCGGCAGTTAGTTGCAAAAAAAAAAATATGATATTCATTGCATGCAGATTCGGGCTTCTGTATAGGGGGAAATTTCAGCTTTGAGGGGGAAAAAACATACTATTTTGAGGAGGGAATGGGGCCAAATTTCGCCAAATATTGTGGTGAAAAAAACACTGACTTTATATGAATTGTTTGTGGTACAATCAGTCAGAGTTGTCTATCAAACTCCAAGGTTAGTAGGTCATTGTGTAAGGTGGCTCTATAGTTTTCTTGCGTAAAAGAATAATAATGGGGTGATTAGAAACTACAGTAGTGAGGGGCTAGTGGTTTGAAGTCATTGAACATAACCACTCAATTACAGATGCCCCTGAAATTTTACTTGTTTTGATACTTTTTTTAAACCAGGTTTTCAACGAAAACCGGGTTATTGTAATGCCAAATTCGGCGGGCAGGTGGGCGGGCAGGCGTCAACTTTTGGTTTCCGCTCAATAACTTTAGTTTGCTTTGGCCTATTGACACCAAACTTGGTGTATGGATAGCTTATATCAAGAGGCAGCTTGGGATTGCTACCCAGGTGTCTGTGATCAAGGTCAAGGTCACTGTTACTAAAAATAGAAATTCAGTTTCCGCTCAATAACTTGAGTTTGCTTTGACCTATTGACACAAAACTTGGTGTATGGATAGCTTATATCAAGAGGCAGCTTGGGATTGCTACCCAGGTGTATGTGATCAAGGTCAAGGTCACTGTTACTAAAAATAGAAATTCAGTTACCGCTCAATAACTTGAGTTTGGTTTGGCCTATTGACACCAAACTTGGTGTATGGATAGCTTATATCAAGAGGCAGCTTGGGATTGCTACCCAGGTGTCTGTGATCAAGGTCAAGGTCACTGTTACTAAAAATAGAAATTCAGTTTCCGCTCAATAACTTGAGTTTGGTTTGGCCTATTTACACCAAACTTGGTGTATGGATAGCTTATATCAAGAGGCAGCATGGGATTGCTATCCAGGTGTCTGTGATCAAGGTCAAGTTCACTGTTACTAAAAATAGAAATTCAGTTTCCGCTCTATAACTTGAGTTTGCTTTGGCCTATTGACACCTAACTTGGTGTATGGATAGCTTATATCAAGAGGCAGCTTGGGATTGCTACCCAGGTGTCTGTTATCAAGGTCAAGGTCACTGTTACTAAAAATAGAAATTCAGTTTCTGCTCAATAACTTGAGTTTGGTTTGGCCTATTGACACCAAACTTGGTGTATGGATAGCTTATATCAAGTGGCAGCTTTGGATTGCTATCCAGGTGTCTGTGCTCAAGGTCAAGGTCAATGTTACTAAAAATAGAAATTCAGTTTCCACTCAATAACTTGAGTTTGCTTTGGCCTTTTGACACCAAACTTAATGAATGGGTAGCTTATATCAAGAGGCAGCTTGGGATTGCTACCCAGGTGTCTGTGATCAAGGTTAATGTATGTGGTTTTCATGTTATAACTTGAGTTTGCTTTGACCTTTTGACACCAAACTTGCTGAGTGGCAGCTTTGGATTGCTACTTAGATATCTGGGAGCAAGTTCAAGGTCATTTGCTTTAGCTTACAATAGAATTTTCAGCTTCTACCCAATAACTTCAGTGCACTTTGACCTATTGATTGCTGTCACATAAAAACTTGGCCGTTGAAAACCTGGTTTTCGTCGCATTGCGGCGCTTCTTGTTTATATACTAGTATATTACTTATTGATATAACACTTGAATATTATAAAATATGTATCAGAATGTAAATTAGCCACTATGACAGCAAATAAAGTGGGGCTTTAGTGTCCTATGGAGACATTTGTAGTTACACATACGATCATACATTCTTTATTTGTTGACTGATTTGCATTAAAATACATTGACAAACTTCAGGGTCAGGTGAATCCTCTGATTTGAGAGAAATTCTTGTTTTCCTCTGAATTCTAGTGTGTTGTAATTAAATTTCAGAAAATTTGTAGAAGCTGCCTTGCGTGATATAGACAGATTTAAAAGACAGAAAACAAAAGACCTGAAAGAGATTTTCACAAATTACGCCATCATGCAGATCAAACAGTGTAAAAAGGTAAGAAAAAAAAGTATATTTGAACCTTACCATGACAAAACCAACCTAGTGTGTTTGCGACAAGCATGGATCCAGGACAGCCTGTGCATCTGCTCATCTGCATAGTCTGTTCAGGATCCATGCTGTTCACCTACAAACCCTATTACAAGTAGGGAAACTGATAGCGAACAGCATGGATCCCGACCAGATTGCACGGATGCGCAGGCTGGTCTGGATCCATGCTGGTCGGAAACGCACCATGTTGGCTTTGTCATAGCGCTGCTCAAATTTTTATAATGTGAATACAACTGAAGATTACTCTTTCAGAATGTAAGTACCGTATCTATAATGAATAGGATATAGCGGCAGTTTAAATTCTTGACAAGTGGGAGTTGAAGCAATGCAATACGGGTAACTTACAAGAATTTGAGACATTTATAACATTTGATGACAAATGTTTGTTTTAGACAATCGTAGTGGACTTTAAGGTCATGTCAAAGAGAGCACTGGTTATTTCTGCATGTCAAAAGCGATATAGAGCTTATCTTATACTGTTATATATATTTCAACTCTAAATAAATATTGACTTTACTTGATTTGACTTTTGGGGATTCTCTTAAGCTGGTTATATTAACTTACCCAAGTGCATACTTTGAAACTATTTTCTTTTTTTAGGTGCAAACACTCATATGTTATTTGTTGTATAGAATTGTATTTCATATATAAACTTTAATGTTTTTTTCAGGGCATTGCAATCTGGACAAGTGCTAAAGATTGTTTTACTAAAATGTAAGAAATAATTAATATGAGTGAGAAATTACAGCAGAGTTACGGAATGTTATGGATGGAAACAGTTTAAAGGTGGTTGCTCAAGGATAGGTCATCTTGTTCACAGACAGTTTTGTTTTGTACACCATGTGTATACATAATTACGTGTTGTGTGAATACACAACTCAGTTGCATAGAATTTGATTTGCAGTGTTTTACAGAAGTGTACACGTTACATGTATACATATATATATATAATGTATATGTAGTTGTATTGTTCAACATTCATGATATCAAAATTCATGATATTGACATTGACAGTCGGGACAGATTTAGCTGTGTAGCACAGTGTGTTCATTATGTGTAAACAGTTATCTTGTATGGCATATACAATTATGTTGCCTTCAGCCGTGTTGTTTGCTGTGTACAGTATTATTGTATGCAGTTTTTGTCTTATTTAGTACACCAAATCATAACATATATTGTAAAGTTTGTGATAGCATAGTGCAATTAGAACCTACTCATTTCGCCTATATGACTGAAATACTGTTGGAAAAAGGCGTAAAATGAAACAAACAAACAAACAAACCTACTCATTTAGAAGCTAGTCAAAACCACCATGTTGGATAAAAATTTGGAATAACTATTTTTTATGTTTTTAATGTGTAATAGGTAAAGGAGAAATGTACAGCAAAAATTTAAATTCAACTGAGGTTTTTTGACATAACAAGACAGGATTTTTTTTTTTTTTGATACCTTAACTATTTTTTCATTGTTCAAAATGTCCTTAATTCTTTGAAAAGAGTTAAACACTAAATAAAATAATGGCACTATATATTGTTTTTTTTTAGTTTATATTTATTTATTATCATCTGTTTTATTTGCCATGTTGATGTAAGATTTTCTAATTAACATTTTTAAGCTTTGGATGACCTCAGTGGAGTTCCTTTAATAAGCATTGTTTGGCAGATGAATCTAGGAATGTTTAATACATTTGTAGTTGTGTGTTTTAGTGTAATCTGGATAAACTGTAGCCATTTTTGTCAATTACACAGATCAAGTAGCTCTCTTCTGAATCAAATTACATGTAATTAAATGTGATAAACTGTGTGAAATAGTTTAATTGGTTGAAGGAAATTTATGTTTGGAAACATAATGTGTATGATTAAATTATTAGTAGGATAACTTTGCTACCATTGCATCTTAAGAATATTGGATGTTTTTTAACAGTTTACCGTCTAAAGAATCATAATAGGAGGTCACTATTCAAGGCCCATAACTTGTATTGATTTTGACTGAATTTTAGCCCTTTTTGAACTCAGAAAAATTCTTAGTTAAAGTTTGCATGCAACATCATCTTTATAGCAATTGAAAGTTTTTACTATTTGAATTAAAATTCAAGGTCACTGTCAGAGACCCATAATTCTGTCATGGAATTTTGAGTGAAATAAGGCCTTTTGTAAACTAACCAAAATTCTTTGATCAATAACCAAGGTTCGAAACTGTGTCATGTACATTATTTGTATATTATTTTTAATGAAATCTTCCTCTTAATTTAATTCTTACATTATCCACTCATATTTTGCTATCAAGCACTGGGAATATTGTCGCAAGCTGCTATCAACATTTCTTTTTTCCTCTTTTAATGTGTTTAATTTTCTTTTGCAGTTTAGATGTTTATTTTGTAAATTTTGGAAACATCCATTCTAGATTGTGTCACAGTTTTTTTGTCATTGCTTTTTTTGCCTAAACACATTTCACCCCATGTTCAAAATGGACCATTGTATATTAACATTCCAGAGTTGTTAGTAAACTGCATTTGTTTATTGCAGGGGTTGTTTTTAAGCTACATAGTCCTGTTACTTTTTATTTACATTTTTCCACCGTATACAATGTTTTTGATAATTTGCAGTGAAACAAAGGACCCCCCCTTCTCTATACAAGTAGTTTATTTATTTCACCTTTGTATTTAAATGATAAATTTGTTGTCATGCATTTAAATAATTGGATTGACTATAATAAATAATTTTGAAGCTTTTAATTAAAAAGAATTATTTATCCATTAAAATATGAAGATATGTTAATATAATTACTAACCAGAAAAAAGAAAAAGGCCAAATAAAAGTTCCATTGTACATTTTATTTGGCTCCTGTTGCTCTTTAAGTTTAATCCTTCATGAAAATATATTGATATACATGTACTGTATAAATAGATCATTGAATGTACTTTTACTTCAAAAATTTAGGTTATCTGCCTTTACTTTTCTTATGGATGAAAATTGTTGTAAATATATTTATTTGTGATTTATTTTAAAATGTTGCTGCATTTTGTACATATAGTATTGTATTTATAAATATGATTCACAGTTTTATATGTAAAGTTGTAAAAAAACATGAGAAATTAAAAGGGAAATGTGCAATACATACAAACGGGTTTGTTGTTATAAGCTCATCCAAGTCAGTGCAAAATGTGCTAACAAGTGAGCTTTTTATGAAGGCGTGATATATGTTTTGTACTAATCTGTGCGTGATTATCTGAAATTTCTTTTAATTCTCTTAAACCACGTGGTAGATAATGACCACACTATCTTCTCTTTAACCACATTGTACATTTTGACCACACTATCTGCTCTTTAACCACATGATAGATTTTGTCCACATTAACTTCTCTTTAAAGCTGTAAAGTCACCATATGACCTATATTGTGTGTGTGTGACATAAATTCCAACCCCCACACAAACGTTAAAATCCAGTGCTAGAGGTCAAATTAGCCTACCCTTTGGGTCATTTAGTTTACATAGACTTATATCAGAAAACACGATACATTTAAATTTTCTTGTGCAAAATCACATTGACTAAAGCTTAGATGAAATGTAGCTTTAGTAAGTTGATCACCACAAAAGTTATTTGATTCAGGTCCCAAACCTGTGTAACATATGTTACATTGACTTTATTTGGAAACTACACAGGAAGTTATTTGGGATGCACATATACCGGGTACCCTCTTCTATATAAATCACTGATCTATGGGTCAAAATTAGACCAACTTTTGGGTCAGGTAATTCACATAGACATAATATAGGTACCACAATTAAATCTGCTTGCATGAAACTATATGACCAAGAGCTTAGATATTTGGCATAGCATTGCCTAGTTAACCACTTAATCCAGACCCTGGGGGTCACATGACCCTGCCTCAACAGTAGATGTCCATTAAGTCAGATATTGATAAAGAAAATAAAGGCTGTATGAGAAAATGTAGCAAAATCTATTTTTAACCTTAGACCTAGATACCACTGACACAAAATCCCATCAAATGTTACATATCTACAGAAATCTGGCAAAAATAAAGGGTTTACGAGGACTTAGGTGAGTGATGGAAGGATGGACATACAAGCCAGTAAGTACCAGTATTATACATGTGATTATGCACCCCTGACAATTTTTTTCATGGAATATGGAAATTAATAAACTTTTAAAGTGCCAATTTCTTCCTGTCTCAATAACTTCATATACATGTGTTTATAATTTGACCTTTGTTGACACTTTATTATTTATACACATGTAAAGTTTGAACACTTAAATTTTGCTCACTTGATTGGGAGGGAGAGAATTAAATTTGTAAATTTGGAGTCGCAGATTCTATCCTTCCGCCACACCAAATTTCAAGATTATCCCGGACATTTCCTTTTAGGGCTTTATGATCATTTGTCTCTCACCGCTGATTCAGAAATAATGTGGGATAAGTAGTCAGTAACTTGAAAAGAATTTGTATACAGTTAAGTTATCCAGAAATGTCAGTTTGGTAGACTGACACCTCCAGATATGTTAAAATCAATCTAACAGGAATATTCAGTCAGCATTTTGTCTAGTAACTAAATACAACAATATCACTTTGCATTAAAATTAGAGCTTTTTTATATTGCAGATATGAAATTAAAAAAATATTTCTAATCAAACAACAAATTTCTGATTTTATCAAAGTGGTGTAAGGCTATATATCTGGAACCTGTAAGGTAGGTCCAAAGTTACAGTTAACTTTTGGGGGGAAAAAGAATCATTTCAAAATTACCATTTGAAAGAAAAATATGTTTGTATATATATATACTCTTAAGGGAAAAATTAATGGTGCATACAAAATCATTATTAAATGGTTAATGACTGCTTGAAATAGAGGTGTAATATTTTTGTTACGCGACAAATTTTATGTCACAACTCGGTTTCATCAATCCGACCATAAAATTGTCGAGACAAGATAATTTACTGTTTATTATTTTCATGAGACAATAATAGCTTTATATACCATTTTTAAATGAACACATTCAAAATGAAAACAAATTTCAAGTTCAGAGCCATTTTTCATATCTGAGCATTTCGATTGTATGTCATTGTTTATATAATTCATTCACAACAGTAAAAATATACCTAACAAGACATAATGTTGTTTTTTTGCAAATGAATCTTAGTTCCTCTAAATTAAGTTTTGCTTAACAAAATTTATTTGTACCGCAATTCACTGGTTATTTTCAATATTTTATCTAACATTGTCCAGCACTTTACAAACATTTTACGCATTAACAGTTTGAGATGACTATACATTGTATAACAGAAATTGTAATGAATTAGTTTGGTCCCTTATTTGATGTGCTTGTAGAGAGAGAAATGCAATCTTTTCCTCACATTATGTAAACCAAAAATAAATTAAAATATTTCAAACTGCATTCAAAGAACATGCCCAAGTCTCACAGAGTTTTACGCGAAAGAACAACAGACTTTCAGAAATTTTCCTCATGATTTCTTAAATTCCTTGATATGTAGTCCTAACTTCCTAAAATAAATCCTAAGTGGAAGGCAAACCTGTAATAAATTTCAACTTTTTTCTGATTTCAATTGAGTGACCAAGCGTTTTCCTTCAAGCAGAATGGTTCATTACTGAAATCAAGACTTGCTACATGTTTTTTTTTTAAATGTGATGTTTTCTTTCCCAAAGGTTGGATTACTTTTTTTCTTAATTTCAACCATCCATCCCTTACCATGCAAGACCTGCAGTTTGGCCTGATACCTGTATAGAGCCAGGCCCACATGCAAGTCTGTGCAGACTGACAAATCTTTAAACTGTTTGTGGTTCAATTTTTGTAAATTAATCTCCTTTACTTTTCAAATGGACTTTTTAAAATTAAAAATCATGACAACTCTATAACACATATTCAGTAGCTTAAGGAATAAGATCTTGTCTGGTTCCAATTATCACTTGT